TAAGTTAGACAATTATTGAAAGCCTGAAAGCATATGACAACTTTTTGTCCTCGTATAAGGCTCCTCAGCAGGGATCATCTACCACCTCGCCCCTGAGAATTCAAACCAGGATCTTCTATATTGGGTCAAAACCCTTACACAAATAATCCTAATGTGCTTACTAGTGACTGACTCCGAGAGGAAATTTACTGGGTTTTAATGATGATCTGTTACCAGTGGAGTTTAAGTGTGATGATTATGAAGATGTCGTTCAGAAGAACGATGAAAGCTCTACGACCAAACCATCCAGCTCAGAGAACAAAACTCCATCAAAATGATTACGAAGAAGGTACCCGCCGAAGAAAATGGATGATGGTTGTGCAATACTGCTGATCGACTGAAGTTAAACTTATACATCATTGAGTCTCATTTCGGTGCCCCGAGGATTTGGTGCTTGTATATAAGACAAAAGCCTCTGGGTTCGATATCTTCTGTGGTTGTTAATCCTCAGTGGTGAGGACTCTCATACTAGAACGAAACAGCTGTCTAGTGCTCCCTGATTTCCAGTGGTTCTATATCTCACATTGATTAGTGTTCTCAACAAAACAACATTATTAAATTGATTGAGTGCCTAAACAGTAAATTAATGGTTGTTTTCCAGACATTCGGTTTTTGCTATAAACCACCTGAGATATCTGGTGAGTTTGTAATATTTTGTGTAACATTTAGACAGTCCATTAATTGACCATAATTTCTGTTTATGTTTATGAGGCTTGTGATTTGATGCTATAAAATATCGTATCATGATGATTAAAGCATAAACCTGCTTACTATCACAGAACAATAAAGCAATGATTGCCAAAATATGTTGGTCAGGTTTACCACTGTTCATGTTAGATGTTATTCAAATAAGTTAAGGTTGCTAGGGCGGTGTTAACGTAAAGTGACGGCAGGTAAGTGGTTTTAGTTAGAGAATTCACCAATAAGAATGGCTAAACATTTAAAGTTCCTACAATCTCACTTATAGAGTAAGATACACTTACAGGCTCCAGGACATTTAATGCATTTTCAAAGGAGCAGTATGCATCAATGCAGCGAACAAACAATGGGAGATATATATCGTACGGATAGATTGTGGTAGATTATTCCAGAGTCTAGAAAACTTACAAGTACAGTAATTCATATAGAGAGATGACTTAGAATGGGTTTGTTTCGCTAGTGACAAGCAGTTACGTATGTCGTAATGAGAAGTTTCTGCATATTGAATTGCTTGGTTGGATGTAAAGGATAGTTTATTAAGTATTTTGAAGAATATAAGACTTAGTTTGAGTCTCCTCTTCCATAAAGAGTTGAGCCCGAGTTTATTACATCTAGAATTATGAGTCAAGGTACAGTCAGTTCCAAGAATACGGAGTGTAAATCGTTTCTGCACTGATTCCAGCCTTAATTTATCCTTCATACGCGCACCGCTAAGAGTAAACGCGCAGTATTCTAGGAGTGATTGAACACAAACTTTGTACATTAAAATACGTGATTCATTGTTAAAAAGGTTTCGAGTTATATAACATATAAGATGTCTGTTTCGTTATTTGTTTTGCAAACGACAAGTCGTAGGAGTACCTAAGTCCTAAGACTACTACTGTATATAACCTAGATAACACTTCACCATTTACGGTAAGATCTAAGTTGAGTGATGTATCACTGAAGCAAATCCATCCACATTTAACTGTATTAGGATCCCGCTGCCAATTTGAGCACCACTGTTCTACCTTATTAAGCTCCATGCTGATGCAATTTTAAATATTGTTCAGTTCATGTGGAGAATATGAATACACTACTTTAAGATCATCTGCATACAGAAGGGGCTCACCCACACAGAAATCATTGATAAAAACTAAAAAGAGCAAAGGGCCTAAGACACTACCCTTGCTGGGGAAGGAATCAAACCAACCAAGCAGAGGGTTTTGGACTTTAGAAATGTTCAGGTACAGCACTAATCCTAGATATCCTTGGCTACGTAGAGAATAGACTAAATTAAAGAATTCAAAGTGACATGACATACAAGATCAATTTTTAGAAAATCCATGTTGCGTATCATTGATAAACTTTTCAGTCAGTAAATAGTTGGATAGTTCGTCACCAATAAATTTTTCCATAATCCTGGAGTAATATTTATCGACCGATAATTGTCCATGTCAGTCTTATCTCCAGATTTGTAACGTGGTATGATGTACGCGGTTTTCCAACAGTAAGGGTAAGAACCTGATTCCATAGAGAGAGCAAACAGCTTTAGAAGAAGTGGAATGTCCAGACCTCCATACTTGTAGAGAAATGATGGAATCCCGCCTGCTCCGTGAATTTTCTAAAACTTAAGGGTATTTATAACCCTACTCGTTTTCAAGCACGTGAAGGAGATAGATTTTATTGAGTTACTAATCATTCATATAACTCTTGAAACAGCGCCATTCATGAATTCTTTGCCACTCGCAAAAGTACCACTGAAAAGGTCTGCTATAGTTTTAGAGTCGTATATAAAAGTGTTATTATGCAGGATGCATGGTATATCAACACTGGGAGTTGGTTTAGCGCGTTTATTGGAAAGGAGAATTAAGCTTTGTACTTTTGAGCTCCTCATCAATGGCTTTTAACCTATGTTTCTCTTTCATTTGGTTAAAAATTATAGTTATTTGTGCAGCTGTTATGAGATCGTTTGACTTAAGATAACGTTTCTCTAGGCATCTTAGTTTATTACGATATTTAGCTGGTATTTATAATTTTTAAGGTTTACTAAAGCTGTACTTTTTAATTGATGCAAAGGAATCTAGACAAGAGTTAACGGTCAAATAGAATTCGTTGATGGCATCCATGAGACTATTACACGCGGAAAATTCATCCCAGTCTGGGAGATTGATCAGTGAGCGCAAGAGGTCCCAGTCAACATGCTTATAGTCTCTATATTGACAGGTTTTTTGAATTGGTCGGTTATAAAAGGGATAGATAGGGAGAGTACAAGCTACTATCTTATGGTCACTGCTTTGAAATTCATTGTATACTTGTACATATTTTAGGATGACATCTCTACTAAATATTATATCAAGCATATTATCACCACTTGTTGGGGTACGAACCCACTGTGACCAGCAGTGCAGGTTAATGATTGTCGAAAATCCATCATTACTTGACTGAAAACTACCGGTACTCCAGTTAATCTCAGGACAATTGAAATTTCCAATTATAAACTTAGCATTGAAGATTAGAGAAGATGCATGTATAAATGCATTGATAATAAAATCATTCACATTATCCGAACCATCTTGTAGATTGTTTATGAAACGGAAGTCGACACTATTCCTAAATCTTAACCACAAATTCTGCAATAAAATTAACTCTAGTAGCACTGCATTTTATAGACAGATTAATCTGATATAACGTTTCATATTTTTGAGTGAAATTCATTCACCTGTTTGACTACAGATAGTTTTTCATTCATGGATGATATCTGTCCACGATGGAAACTCGAAAGCCAAATTTCTAACCCTAACTAGAAACATTCTGAAGACTATTAAAGGTCGATTTGTGTCCTTTTAAGGGTTTAATGTAATAGACAGTCTGGATATACTTCGCAAAATGGTTATTTCCTTTTCCAAAAACCATCCACTTATAAGCACCTTTTCCTCATTGGCTAGAAACTAGTCCCTATACAATACTGTCACCCTTCTATAGTGACTATGTGCACAAGTTTTGCTAAGCCTCTGAATATTTGATTAGCTCAATGTTATATAAACTAATAAACAAAATGATGATAAGACATATTGAAGAGTTTCTAAGCCATCTCGAGGTATTCATTCCAAATTCACATACGATAACAAAAGATGATTCAATGCAGCTCTACGTATCAATAACGAGATGATAAAAGTTGGGTTTTTTTTTCGAATTTAAAATCTAACCTTTTTCTTTCCAAACTGATGAACAATCATTTTTGTATTTTCTGTATAATATTTAGATTGTGAATATTGCCTCAAATCTGAATTCTTGATCAATTGAATAAAAATTACATAATTATTCAGGTGTAATAAGATGGAGATAAAGTGGAAATTATATATAGAGAAAAGATTGAAAAAACGAATATATAGGTTATTTTGACACTTGTTCCTCCCTAATAATTTTCACCTCTCTTTTTTTTAGTTGATTTCCATTTCATCTCCGATTTACTACACCTCAATCTTTACTGAATTTACATTTGACACTTTTAAACATTTTTAATAATATTGATGCCTACACAAAAAAATGTTGTTATGAAATACTGTATAGAATATGCAAAGATAGATGGTTGCTAACAATGGAATCCAGGACGCGTGTTTCAATCTATTTGAGACTCTTCAGTCGGATGCACCTGCATCTCAGACGGATGGACGGCCGTTTCATTCTAGTATGGGACTCCTACTCAGCGTTCACGTGCGAAACTGAATATACTGGGTTCAAATCTACCGTGTGCGGGATCGTGGATACATTTCTGAGGAGTCCCACATTAAGACGAAACTGCCATCCAATGCTTCCAGGTTTTTTATGGTGGTCCAGTGATCGATTCATGATCCCAATCAAAAATAAAATAATTAACCTGAGATTTAGTGGAAGGCTGATAATAAATACATCTGTGTACTTTAGATCTTCTTTGATCCATGTCACATTTTCAACCATAGACTATAACCTCCTCAAATAACTCTAATTGTTACCCATGAATTGAAAATAAATAACTATTGTACAGAGTGGTCAATGACTGTTAGTCGATATAAAGTTCTTCTGTAATGTAGATAAAAATTATTCAGAGAATAAACATAAAAGAATATAAGTTGTATAAATGCTTAATCCAAGCTTGTTACTTGTTTTAATATCAAGGTATGAAACGTTTAGTCAAAATACATAATATCAAAGATTTATTTATGGAAAATAAATTATCAACTTTCCACTGTGTTCAAACAATTCAGTATCCACAGCTTCGTGCATTCATTGAACTAGATGGTCTATTTCCTATAACACAAATACCAGCCCTACAATAGAAAATATTAACAGTTAATTTAATACTTTGCAGATACAAATTATGGTGATAGTGAGTTTAATAACCAAGCAAAGACTTAACCATTAGTTCAATGGTTATTCTACGAAAATGATGGGGGAATGATATAAGTGCTGAAACCAATATATTAAATACAGATAAAAAGGATGGTACTAATTGGATCCAGGATCCTAAGGGATCAGAATATGTAAGATTCTACTCTAGTCATTAACTACTTACTACTTGTATCTACTGATATCTCTATATAAAGTTGTTAACTAGTCCTTTACGCCAAGGATTCACCAGACTGTACACGAAAAAAACCACTTGCATCGGTTCAGGTTTCAGGGTATTATCTTAGCCCTTACAAAAATAATTTGAAATATCAAATAAATCTACTCTATACTTTAAACCGGATTGATTTCAGAGTAAGTGTCAAGATTCTTAATCGAATCCAATCAAAACTGTTCTATGCTATACAAGTTTGAATTTAATACACAGTAACTTATAACAATGACTGTCATAGACATTTACATAATCAAATGGAAATTCCTAACAAAAAACGGATTAGGTTATTTATAGACACCTTAATGAAGATTATGATCACTACATATTTACAATGTTTGTTTCCATAAAAAAATGTTCTTATATCAGAAAATGATCATTTCCAATGTACTTGATGATCACGGGATTAAACCGTATATTTCACTGCATTCACAAAAAATAAGATAATTCATTTTTGCACAACTCATGTTTATTGATTTTTGTTATTAATTTAGAAAAGATGAATGAAATGATGTGATTGTTGGTGTTTCTAATCATTTTGATCAAGTTTCTATTGAAGAAATGCTATGTTCACAAGAAATATATAATCATAGGTGACTTCACTTAAATAGGGTAATAACATTTAGAAATGAAGATACAATATGTACAACATAATTGGTTTATTGTTACTTCAGGAAAGATTTCCTGAAATGTTGAATAGTTGCCTTCAGTTATCTTTATTCGGAGTATATTAGCTGTCTTGAGGAACTGTTACTTATCATATTTAATTATTAAAAATACCATTGCTGATTATTATTTGTTTTAGCTTTTGATTTATAGAAAAAATGTTCTGTTAGTTTCTGATAAGATTTAAGTTTCTTCAGTCAGAAGTCTTATATTACCTATCACTCTAAGTTCATTATTGTAAGCAAAGATGGATAGTGGCTAGCATTGGAATCCAGGATGCGCGTTTCGTAAGCTGGATGTATCTGCATCTCAAAGTTGATGTTCACTCTAAGACTCGAACCCAGTATCGTCCGATTCAAACACCATCGTGTTATCCACTCAGCTACTGAGTCCTGATAACTACTTGCTTATGCAATGGGATGAAGTTTGAATTCGCGTAGTATTGTTTGTTTAAATCTTCCAATCTATGTTTAAGACTGCAATTGGTCAGTCTCTTATTGGCATATCTGCACCCATCTTTGCTTATAATGCTTGAGAATTAAGGCTATATCGAGGCAATATGCACAGTATGCACATACAGTCAATAAGAGACTGATCAATTGCGATCATAAGAATCAATGGGAAGATTCAAACAAACAATACGAAGTGAATTTAAGTTCATTATATTTCCAAATCAATCAATATATTAGTCCATTATCATCAAATTTTAATGAAAACTAATAGATAAATGACTACAGATGACTTTCAAGTAAATAGAAATAATCAAGTAATTTAAAGTTCCCTTATTTTTCAGAGTTGGATTCTTGTTCTCAACCTTACTGATAGAATATGTTATATATGCTAAAATATTTTACTTTCTTCAAAATATCAATATTTTTTATAGATGGCAAGACTACAATTTATGGACGAACCATTCAGGTATAAGATAACAGGTGTTGGATTTTGGCATGTAATTCACTCATCCATTTGGCTAAATATAGTTTTGGCATTATAGCTGATGTCAGTTCATGATGGAAACCCTCAAATCTAATTCTTAAACTTAACGACAAACAATAAATCATAATTCTAATTCCTCACACTGGTTTATAACCTTCATTTAGTCTTAATTATTCGGTGAACACTCTCATGATCATTTTAGCTTTGCTCAATGGTCGTCTATGAATTATAGTCTCACCAAACACACTCATGAACAATTTAATAACAGTGAAAATACATAAAAACCCTTTTAAATCTCTTGAAAAATAATATTTATCATTAATAAGATTAAACAAAATTCAAAATGGTTTATCCCTCTCCCCCCCCAATTGGATTAAAATCTTTGAGTAGTCAACGATAATAAAATTAATTTATAAGTTCAATCGATTTCTTTAAGTTTATATAATATAAAGAAATTTTGTCAAAAGGGTTACAAAACAACTACATACCTCACAAGATATTGATGGATCAATTTTGGATATAGATTTATTGATTGTTTTAAACATTGTAAAAGTAACTAAGGATACACACTATAAAAATGTAAGAAAAAAAAAACAAAACAAAAACAATATAAACATTGGAATTACTAATATTACTGAAAATACTCCTATTTTTTTTATTGATACGACTGTAATAGAAGGAAATGAGCAAAAGGAATACATGTTTATTGTGATCAGTTACATAGCGTTCAATTATCTGTTTGCATATTTTAATGTATTCTGCAATCTGAACTGTCTTCTCATTTGGTCTTCAAGTATTGTGATTATACCGTGCTTTTGCTGTATTGAAGCTCTTCACTCTGTTCGACAACTTCGACGCCACTTCTCGCAACATACTACTTATTAGGAATCTTGTGAATAGCATCCACGACAGTACCAGTAATAATAATATTAGTGGCTAGACTATAATTTATGGACAAGACAATCAGAAAGCGTTTGAGGGACTTCAAGGTTACGGCGCCAATTTCAGTACCTGAAGTCAGACTGACTGCTGAAGAGTCCCATAATAGGACGAAACGGCTGTCCAGGGCTTCTATGTTTTCGACAGTGATCTAGCTTCAATCGACTAGTGATCTTAACTATAAAATTAAAACTGTTGAATTACAGTTTACAGTATCTACAGACTATGAGTAGAATCCATTTCATTAACGTAGAAAGTATAATTGATATGCATATTATTACGTACATTGATAGATCACTGTTTTAATGACCACTGTCACAGTTTTCTAGTCCTTTAGTTCTGTATACATTCTATCTACCAGGTTGTAATATGGTTATTAGTCTAAGTGACTCAAAATCCCTTTTACTATATTTCAATGTACTCTTAAAAAAACTGATCATTCCGGTTGGATTCGATCACTTTTCGCCTACTTCACAGTCAGGGACATTACCACTTATCTATTACAACCACGAATGACCATCTGAAAGAAAGATGCATTTACAATTGAGTGACCACTGACTAGTAACCAGTTCTATGTATAATATATATTCCTTATTGTTGATCAGATTATATCAACCAAGTTAATCTAATAACTCAATGGTAGTATCTCTGACTGTGAAGTGCATGGCAAGAGTTCTAATTATATAAGAATGATCAGTTCTTCCAAGAATACAAGTATACCTTGGTGATGAGTGCCAAATAAAATGTAACCTAAGTTTAGGGTTTTCTTATCGGTTACCTTTAACCACCACCTTAAAACATTCGATCATCTAATGTTTATGGAACTTTCTTTTCTCTAAAACATTAAACATTGATTCATACGTTTATTTTGTTGGTGTATTAAATTTCAAGATCTTAAATTTCTATTTTGAAATTGATCAAAATAAACCAAATTTAAGTTTCAGATGATTTAAATTTACACAGGAAATGATCTTTATTAGTTCTAAATTATTTGTATTAGCTCAAATTATGGTGTGGAAATGAATTCGACAAATATTAATCAAAAGATGAATGAAAGGTGAGATCATAATTTATGGACAAGACAATCAGAAAGCGTTTGAGGGACTTCAAGGTTACGGCGCCAATTTCAGTACCTGGTGCTCATGTACGATTGGTTCACAGAGGAATTTACAGAAGACTTGACAATCAAGCGCCTACAATAAATGAGACTACTAAGAAGTTCCTGTATTTGTAATTACGGTAATTAAATGAATTGTAGACCTTGTGCAGACTACCTTGATGTTGTCCTTCGATGTAATATATGTTGAAGGAAGACGTTTGCTAGAATAGGAACCTTTATCGCTCGAACCAGATTGAGACTAAGGTATATTATAATAATTGTCGCCAACCGTATAATAAAAGCACCAGTAACATTGTCTGCAATAATCGAAGATGTTACTGAAGCTTCAGCTGCTAAGTGGTTTGAATATTGTAGAGACATATCCATAATAGAAATGATAAACTTACACAACTGGACTAGACACAAACAATAATGACGCTATGTGGTCGAGACTGAGAGGGTTTTTGTGACCTTATCATGGCTCCATAGACCAACTATTATGGAGCCATATGGATGAGTTCCTCTACCTTATGCATTACGATTTTGAAACCTTTGAACCTTTTTCTTACGTTGACAAGTAGTTGGACGGTATGAAAGAAGTGTATCCACTTTAATTATTTGTTTTTGTATAATAAATTTTTGATTTATGCTGACTGTTTACTGATTGGTCAACATTTCTGAGGGTCATATTAGATTCGTCCAAAGGTCGTCCATAAATTATAGTCTCATCATATTTATAGTTCCTTTTTGCATTGGTTTTTTGAATCTTCCCATTGGTGTTTAGGATCGCAATTGATCGATCTATTATTGGCATGTGTGGACTCTATGCGGATTACTTCAATATTACCTAAAGTGACAGGCATTATAAGTAGATATGATGGTGACTAGCACTGGAATCCGGGACGCGCGTTTCTTCTCATTTGGGACCGGTCAGCTGGATGTACCTGCATCCCAGAGTTGATGCTCACACTGAGACTCGAATAATCATCACACAACTTAAGTATCCACTGCCGTAAAAGTCAGTAGAATAAAGTTTGAACAAACTGTCAATCAAACCATACTATGGCTAAGAGTTTGTTTACACCACTTAAAATTATTACTTATTCTTCAGGTTCGTAATCATCGGAGCTTTCTTCTTTTTATGAATCCTTTAATTTATCAATTATTTGTGTTATTTTATATTGAGATCATAAATCAATCAGTGTTAGACCATCAGTGCAAACCTGAAAGCGCTGGCTTGTCGTTTTACCCTCGTATGAAACTCTTCGTTAGTGCTCAAATACGAACCCTCAGGGGGACTCGGTTGTCTCTACCGGGCATAAATCGGATTCCACTGATAACGGCTTCTCACTAGAACTTCGAGAATGGTCGATCAGTTTCGTAAACTGGTTGAAGTTAGACAATAACATCATTGGATGCCAGCTCAGTGGTCTAGAAGTTAAGTGTTCGGGCGCGAGGCCGAAGGTCGTGGGTTCGAGTCCCCCGTGAAGGACCGTAGATACACACAGCCTCAATTGGGCAAATCTTGTACAAATGTTATTTTTTATTTTATGGTACGATGTGGTCTGTTTGATTGGTATGTAAACCCAGTATGTTTGAGAATAATGGTTCATATTGCAGTGGCTGTTATTGGTGTTCTAGACTTAACTGGCTAGGCTAGGCAGATATCAGAACTGATAAGTACTCAAGACTGCTTATAAGGCTTTGTGTATCATTGCTGTGATCGATAATTTACTCCTCTCTGATTGGTGGGATCATCATGTCATATATATATCAACTGGACAAGAACGCACACATACTCACGCAACTCAATCGATATAACACTAATACCATCAAATAACCTACTCCAATCCTTTTTAAATCTCATCAAAAGGATTTATCATTTCATATATGGTAAAACATTTAATTTGAAAAAAAAATGTTTTACTGAAATAACCCAACTAACTTGATCACGAAATGGTCCAATATATTCACAGATATCAATTAATTTTTCTTGAAAACTTTCAAGTTTACCATAGTCCAGAAACAGTGACATGATGGAATTATGAAATTTCAGACACGTTCCACATACTGAAACAGAGATATAGAAATAATAATTCACAAAATATGATTTATTGATGTAAACAATGAAATGAGTGCTATAGAACTTCGGAGGGGGGGGGAAATAAATATCCCCTAAATACAGAATAAAATTACTGACTAAACTAGCCATACAATATGAATTAGATACAAATAAAGTTTATATTAGGCTGGCTTTAATTTTCTAAAGAATTATAAAAATATAAACAGTCCACTTTAAAGGTTAACCTTAAAGTAAACACTTATTTTATGATTACAGTGGTAGGCTTGTGTAGATTAGTCTATTCAAAGATCATTCACATCTCTAGTTAACCTTGGTTGGATAAACATGGAAAATCTGGAAACATTTGTTAGGCATTTCGTACCTTTATAGGAATTTCCGGAAGTGAGAACTAACGGACTTCAGATTGTCTCGGAACCGTTGAGTTAAAATTAATTAGTTTGCCAATTCCAGCCTCATGGAATTTATGGAAGTGCAGCATTATCATTCATTCCACAGGCGATAAGTGTCTTATGTCCATATTTGAATTCTACAAGTTACAGCTTCTCACCAAAACATATGAAGCTCTTCTCAACGTTATCTATTGATTAAAATACGTTTGTTATGGAGATTGAAGGCTTGTGCTAATTATTAAGTTTGAAAACAGCTCACATCATGAACTAGCTTAAGTCAAACAACCATTAAGACGCCAAGAGAATTCTGAAAGGTTATTTCAGTCCTTGTCAGAGAATCCTCCTCAGTACACAACCAAAACACATTTCATATGTTTAAATTCATCATAAAGATGATTTCGATATTTTTGCTCATGTACAGAACGAAAAAATAAACTTTTAAAATAATTTGACTACAAATTCATTTTAATCTACGAAAACTTGCCTCTTTCTTCCATATCATCGAACAGACCTCAACTCAAAAATTCTCTAGGGGCTTCTTAGTTAATATCTAAATTTGCTATATCAGGGACAACCTGTATTTTATTTGTCTACTAACACGTTTTTTCTATTGTTATAAAATTTAAGATTTAGTATATTATTGAATCCTCCAGTACATGACTTTTTCTATCCTTCTATCTTGCATCCGAACTAGATGCACTTCCCGTAACTCATCTCATTATATAACTCGTAGAAATCAATCTCTATAATTCTTATATTTACGATGCTGTGTAATTTGAGTACAAATTTCACAAACAGAAAACAACAGTTCAAACAACTTGTTGGAATGGATAAAGTGTAAAACTGTCTTAATGTCCATTAGTTCGTGAATGTAGGTCTGTCAAACTCAGTCTTTTGATTATGAAAGATAAAATTTTTGTGTCCCGCTTTGCAGCCTTCAGTAGATTGTATTCATTAATAAGTTCGGAATGTCATCTTTCAGCATACAGTTTAATATGGTTGAGATCATGAGTCAATTGAAGCTAGGCCATCACGGAAAACCTGGAAGCACTGGACGGCCGTTTCGACCTATTGTGGGACTCTTCAGCTGTGCGCATTCATGATCCCACCTCACGGAATTTGAACCCAGGACCTACCAGTCTCGCGTGCGAGCACTTAACCTCTAGACCACTGAGTCAGCCGTCATCCCACGATGTTATTGTCTAACCTCAACCAACTCACGAAATTGCTTCCAGGTTTTCCGTGGTGGTCTAGCTTCAATCGGCTAATGATCTCAGCCATATAAAATTACTAAAATCTCCACAAAACCCCCTCCTGATACAGTTTCATGCATGCTCTTAATCTATAACTGTTCAAGATAGAAATTTTCTTTGGATTTACTAATACAATCAATCACGTGTTACAATAATCATTAAGAAAGTGATGGATTGAAAAATATCTGTGAACAGATAACTCATGGGTCAAAAGTCAGTAAACCAAAGAAATCTTTCTCAAATGACAGTAGGATAGATTAATTTAAATCTGTAGCATGGGTGAGATACGCAATATAAGTAGTAAATACACGCTCAAATTGTTTCAAATATTTTACATATTCAGGTGTTAGATACTTTCCTAAAATTAATGGTCTCTAAAAGCTTTCATTATGTTTCGATTTGTGAATCAGTTATACATACAGATTATCCAGAACGATCAAGTATGTCATCTATAATCTATTCAGATTTACACATGCGTAGATGAAAACAAAAATTGTACAAAGCGATGGATTATGAAATTTCACAAGATGTGTCACGGAATAACGTTACTTAGACAACCAAAGATTAGGCTCTTTTTGTGAAGTCTAAAGTTATTTGGTCCGACCACCGATGAGGTTGCAGATGAGGTTTTCTGTCAAATCCTGTTCTAGAACAAAAGAGTTGCCTATTGCTTCCTGGTATTCAATGGTAACCGAACATCAGTCCGTGATGTAAACTATAAAATACTACTGATAATAAGTTGATAAAATTTATCTGCTGAATAATAAACATTTTATCATTCAAGGTTTATTAATCAACTATTATTAATCCTTAATAATCATAATTTAACATTAGATTATCAATTTCAGATGTTTACAGTCGGAATGTAACTAATTACTGATTGTGTTGGAATTCAATTATGCAAATATATGTCTTTATATTGATTGGGTACAGTTGGTAATGATGAATTCAGTATATCAGTAGATATACCGAAATTGAAAGTATCAAAATTGTTTCCTGGAAAAATTCACATACCTAACATATAACCATGGTAACTATTTTGAATTCTTATATCAAATAGTCAAATCATATCTTTATAAAACAATAATTTTATCTAATACTGATAGAAAACTAATATATATAAGGTGAATGTAAATCTAAACTGAATTCAGTATTTGTAAAATTTCTTTGGTTATAACTAGATTGCATTTGCATATAAATGAATGTTAAATCATGGTCATCTGACTAATATGGTAAAATATTTATGTAAATTGTTTTGTGACAATTGAGAAACTAAACTAAATCAAGGTATCTTGCTTGCTGTTGCACATGATGTTGTATCCATTCTGTTATTTACACGTATCTGGAGTGATTTATAACTGATTGATAGATAACGCGAGGCGGGATCGTGGATGCGCACTGCTGAAGAGTCCCATAATAGGACGAAACGGCTGTCCAGGGCTTCTATGTTTTCGACAGTGATCTAGCTTCAATCGACTAGTGATCTTAACTATAAAATTAAAACTGTTGAATTACAGTTCACAGTATCTACAGACTATGAGTAGAATCCATTTCATTAACGTAGAAAGTATAATTGATATGCATATTATTACGTACATTGATAGATCACTGTTTTAATGACCACTGTCACAGTTTTCTAGTCCTTTAGTTCTGTATACATTCTATCTACCAGGTTGTAATATGGTTATTAGTCTAAGTGACTCAAAATCCCTTTTACTATATTTCAATGTACTCTTAAAAAAACTGATCATTCCGGTTGGATTCGATCACGTTTCGCCTACTTCACAGTCAGGGACATTACCACTTATCTATTACAACCACGAATGACCATCTGAAAGAAAGATGCATTTACAATTGAGTGACCACTGACTAGTAACCAGTTCTATGTATAATATATATTCCTTATTGTTGATCAGATTATATCAACCAAGTTAATCCAATAACTCAATGGTAGTATCTTTGACTGTGAAGTGCATGGCAAGAGTTCTAATTATATAAGAATGATCAGTTCTTCCAAGAATACAAGTATACCTTGGTGATGAGTGCCAAATAAAATGTAACCTAAGTTTAGGGTTTTCTTATCGGTTACCTTTAACCACCACCTTAAAACATTCGATCATCTAATGTTTATGGAACTTTCTTTTCTCTAAAACATTAAACATTGATTCATACGTTTATTTTGTTGGTGTATTAAATTTCAAGATCTTAAATTTCTATTTTGAAATTGATCAAAATAAACCAAATTTAAGTTTCAGATGATTTAAATTTACACAGGAAATGATCTTTATTAGTTCTAAATTATTTGTATTAGCTCAAATTATGGTGTGGAAATGAATTCGACAAATATTAATCAAAAGATGAATGAAAGGTGAGATCATAATTTATGGACAAGACAATCAGAAAGCGTTTGAGGGACTTCAAGGTTACGGCGCCAATTTCAGTACCTGGTGCTCATGTACGATTGGTTCACAGAGGAATTTACAGAAGACTTGACAATCAAGCGCCTACAATAAATGAGACTACTAAGAAGTTCCTGTATTTGTAATTACGGTAATTAAATGAATTGTAGACCTTGTGCAGACTACCTTGATGTTGTCCTTCGATGTAATATATGTTGAAGGAAGACGTTTGCTAGAATAGAAACCTTTATCGCTCGATCCAGATTGAGACTAAGGTATATTATAATAATTGCCGCCAACCGTATACTAAAAGCACCAGTAACATTGGCTACAATAATCGATGTTGCTGAAGCTTCAGCTGCTCAGTGGTTTGAATATTGTAGAGACATATCCATAATAGAAATGATAAACTTACACAACTGGAGTACACACAAACAATAATGACGCTATGTGTTCGAGACTGAGAGTGTTTTTGTGACCTTATCATGGCTCCAGAGACCAACTATTATGGAGCCATATGGATGAGTTCCTCTACCTTATGCATTACGATTTTGAAACCTTTGAACCTTTTTCTTACGTTGACAAGTAGTTGGACGGTATGAAAGAAGTGTATCCACTTTGATTATTTGTTTTTGTATAATAAATTTTTGATTTATGCTGACTGTTTACTGATTAGCTAACATTTCTCAATGTCACTTGAGATTCGTTCAAAGGTCGTCCATAAATTATAGTCTCGCCGAATGATAAATCTACTTAAAGAAATATATTCGTTTAACGAGCATTAACTAAGTAGAATTAGTAAGTATTTATCATAGTGTAACATTAACTGACAAACCGATGAGAAGCCTAGGAGTAGTAGACAATCGTCCTTTTATAGTATGAGCCTTAAAAGTGAAAACAAATAAACCTAACGAAACTCCATCACATAACTTCCATATATAAATCCGCTAACTATTTCTACAAACACATATTTTAATCAAAATGGGAGTTTGTGGAGTTTGTAGTAATTTCGGTAGTGGAATTCATCAGTCGAACTAAGCTAATGGTTCAGTGTTCGCACGCGAGACCGAAGATTCTGGATTCGAGTTCCCCGTGTGGGATTGCAGTCGCACACTGTTGAGAAGTCCCATGCGACGATGAAACGGCCGTCCAGTGTTTTTAGGTTTTCAGTGGTGGTCTAGCTTGGATTGACTAATGAATTCAACTATTAACATGTTTTAATAACAATCGTATACTCATTGGCAGCTAGCTTTCAGATGGATTCTTCAGGTTTTTATGGAACATAGTGACTAGTGAAGTTCAAATGAGGCAGCTTTGACACAGTTATCTGTAACAGTTCTTGGCATAATTCATTTACGATCTAGAGATTTTAAAGTTGAACAATCAGGTCTCCGAAATGCGAAGATTGGAAAGAGCAGAATAATATAAACTAACAAAATCGAATCCTAATGCAAAAAAGAATCGTGGGGATTTATATATTTGTCCTCGTTAACTCAGAAAATGATATATGAGGAGAGACCATAATCAGATGCATAATCCCCCCTTTAAAAAAAGCATCTTGTGTTTATAATTTCAAGCCCCAAGGCTGAACCTATGATGGTATTTTATCTGTTCAACTTTTACAAAGAACCTCATGTGTCTGGACTCTTCTGGTTTACATATATCTTAGATATCACTGGATGACAATTGGATAAAATAGGAAGTGTTGAATATCAAATATTTATTTAGTTACTACTTACTTAAGCCTGTTACCCTCATCGAGGAGCATAGGCCGCTCACCAGCATTCTCCGTCCAAACCTATCCTGGGCAATCCTTTCCACTTCTTTCCAGTTGACATTCATCCTTTTCATATCTGATTATATTTCCCGGCGTAATGTGTTCTTTGGCCTTCCCCTTTTCCGCTTCCCTTCTGGATTCCAAGTTAGGGCTTGCCTTATTATACACATTAGTGATATCTCCAATGTATGTCCTATCCCCTTCTAAGGTCTTTTCCTAATTTCCTCTTCAGCTGGAAGCTGGTTTGTCCTCTCCCATAAAACGCTGTTGCTGATGGTATCGGGCCAGCTAATGTTGAGTATTTTGCATAGACAACTGTTTATAAATACTTGTACCTTCTTGACGATGGATGTAGTAGTTGTCCACGTTTCAGCTTCGTATAGTAGGACTGTCTTGACGTTCGTATTGAAGATTCTGACTTTGGAATTAGTTGACAGTTGTTTTGAGTTCAATATGTTCTTCAATTGTAGGAATGCTGTCCTTGCTTTGCCAATATTTATTTAGTAGCCTACACAAACTATGATTGTCAAATGACCTAAAGATTCTAGGTTTGATCCATCTATGAAATCTTCTAATTACGATTACAATTGAGTTTCACTATTACTAGCCAACATAAATTGAGTTCATTTTAATTCATAATAATTACTTCAAAATAACATTTAATTAATGTTACATGTCAACACTGATAATTATTAACTGTAATTGAAATTAAACTGACCAAGCAACTATTACTTACATTTACCATTAAAAGTTTTTGGATCTTTGGTCTGTAAGAAAATAAGAAAGGGATTAAGAGAGAGAGATATGGGGGGAGAGACGAATATTCATTGATAAAAACAAAAAATTTAATGAATGATAAGTGAAATTTAACTAAGTATTGTTTGTTGGAATCTTCCCATTGATGTTTAGGACTGCATAAGCAAGTGGCTATCAGGACTCAGTAGCTAAGTAGATAACGTGATGGCGTTTGAAGCGAAAGGTACTGGGTTCGAGTGCCAGAGTTAACATCAACTCTGAGATGCAGGTACATCCAGCTGACGAGTCCTAAATAGGACGAAACGTGCGTACTGGATTCCACTACTATCCACTATCCATCTTTGCTTACAAGGTAAGTGAAATTATTTTTAAACCTTCTAGATTTAACAAAGTTTAAGGCATATAGATTGGAAAGTAAATGAGGATAGAACTGATCATTCTATCTGATCTCTAACTGATTAATCCAAATGAATAAACATTATAAAAGGCCATTGTATCAAGCAAGAATAACGAATATAGAAGAATGCACATACTTTATTTCCCACCAATGTAGATCAGTGAAATAACGGCAATAAATATGGCGAAATTATAAAACATCAACAGCATTTTCTTAACAATTCGATTGTTCATCATCAATTTACCTACTTACACCTGTTACCCCTCATGGAGGAGCATAGGCCGCACACCAGTATTCTCCATCTAACAATTTTGAATTTACTATGTCCCTCTTTAGAGCATATCGATTAAAAGGTTGAAAAGTAGTTTATCTATTCAAAAGTATACAGTTCTTAGTCTTACATATCCTAGTAACTCTGATTTTTAAATATTTGATTGGATCGTATCTCATTTTATACTATCCATTGCAAATTGATGTTTTTTTACATTCTGAAGTAAAAGATCACATTTGTAGATCTTGTTCATCATATACTGATGTCAGTTAGTTTACCAATGAGAAACAAGTTAGTATTAGACAGTTTCATTATTCTAGTATGAAACTTCTTAAAATTCAGAGCTCAAATTGTGGCTTCAGAGTCCTGATTTCAGAACCTCATCAGGTTTTAATTTTTCATTTATGAAAAGTTTCATAAAATGACAAAACAGTTGTCTAGTATACCCTGACTTTTAATGATATTCAAATGAGGTCAGTCTTAGATGAGTGTAATCTTCAGAAAACATATTCAACTAACTTATCGCTATTGTTCCTATGTTGTAAACAGATTGAGAAATTTCATGAAATGCATGAATTTATACCACAATTCTAAGTTTGATGTTCTTACTTTATTCAAGAAAAAAGCATCCACATAACATAAACAGATTTAGTGTTATTTGTATTGTTTATAGTTTTCAGAATAGAGTATTAGAAAGAAGTTAAATCTATTGTAGGTAAATAAGCTTAACAATATGAAACCATATCAATATTTAAACTTCACCCCATTGCACAATCAAGTGGCTATCAGGACTCAGTAGCTGAGTGGATAACACGATGGCGTTTGAATCTGGCGGTACTGGGTTCTTGTCCCAGAGTGAACATCAACTCTGAGATACAGGTATATCCAGTTGACGCGTCCCAAATAGGACGAAACACTCGTCCTGTATTGCACTGCTAACCACTATCCATCTTTGCATATTAATATTTATTTCATTATTTTAATGTGAAAAACTTTCATACTTTACTAAAAGCCAAATTGATATTGTTATATCCGGATGAGAACAAATGAATGGTAACCGTTAGAAATTATTTATGGACTAATATTATAAGAATATTCTTATTGTATGACTATTATATGACTACTAACATATGTATATTCATATTTATTTCATTAGAAGTTCTTATTTGACCTATTTACTATTATCATACGATTTATCATTATTGAGATATTCTGAATTTATATTAGTTACAGTTTCTAACAATCACAACCATTTTTGGCTTGATCTTATTACAAATATTATTTTCTATTTCATGTTGTGTTGTGGTCTGGTGTTCGTATATAAACAAACTATGTCTAAAATATATGATTGGTATCACGAAGGCTGATATTGGCATTCTGGATTTAACAGGAAGAGCTAGGCGGAAAAAGGACCAATCTAAACACTAGGCTTCTCGTACTGCCGTATGCGTCAAAGAACGGCTTAGATTAGTTTATCTGATGGTTCAATGAAAAAGTTGAAGATTCAATCTATAATTCATTAAAAATATAGACTCTGATCTCGATTATCAACTACTAACGAAAATCCCACCTTAAGTTCAACAGGTTACCCTTAAGTAATTGATATTATATCAAATGGGGAACTGGCTGAATTTTCTAGAAATTCACTATCTAAAAGATCGATTTGTTATATCGTTTTACATTAGATTAAAAAAACTGTTGTAAGAACATCCTCAGATTAAAATAAAATACTACTTTGATCATTTCATTTATTCAGTAGTTTCATAAATAACATAGTTGAAAGCATGAGTCATTTGAAGCTAGACCACCAAGGAAAACCTGGAAGCACTGAACTGCCGTTTAGTCCTATTGTGGGACTCCTCTGAGGTCGTGGATGCGCACTGCTGACTAGTCCCACAATAGGACGAAACGGCCGTTCAGTGCTTCCAGGTTTTCCTTGGTGGTCTAGCTTCAATTGACTCATGCTTTCAACTATGAAAATACTAAATCTCCACAAAACCCCTTCTGATCATAAATAACAGCTTTTTATAAAAATTAATTACAAAAAAATTAAATTCCCTAAATCATTGTTTGAATAAACGGATATTCACCGACTATTTTCTGTCGTTAAAGGCTAATATTATGATTTATGGTACTTGAAGAAATAATAATCTTTGGAAGAACTTCAAAAATATTGTAAGTTGAATTGGTTCAAAGACTTGATTTAAAGTCTCAACTGGACAGTAATTTTACTGCAATATACATCTATATTTAATTATTGTTAGATAGAGTAGTGAATTCGACTTTGATGGAGTTTTGTTCTCTGAGCTGGATGGTTCGGTCGTGGAGCTTTCATCGTCCTTCTGAACGACATCATCAGCACAAACTTAGGGTATAAGTGAAGTGTTTGAATGTCTCCACATGTGATTCACAGATTGTCCGATGAAAGCTCAACGACCAAATCATTCAGCTCAGAGAACAAAACTCCATCAAAATCACCCACCTGAGCTACAAATCTTCTTCACCATCTCAGTGAATTTGACTTAGTCCAATAAGTTGAACTAATTTTGTTCGACTACAAAACAAGTTATTATTTAATTCTGATAATATAGTATATTAAGCCATAAACTGTGTATTATCCAAATACAATCCTCAAATTGTAAATACAGACAAGATGTTCACTTAACCCGGTTAAAAGTCGAGTGTTTAAGCATCGAAGTCATTATCTTATAATTGTTTTATTATCAGTGTTTCACAATCTGGACATTATTAACCTGTGTGCTAATTGCTACTCACCAGATAGACATATCTCGAATTTTGACGAAATTGATATTTTTTGTTGGATTCAAACCTTGGTCACTCAGTCAAATCTGGGAAAGATTGAAAGTACACTATATTAAAGGATGTCAACTAGCACAAAGCCTGGATCTGGAGGCTCTTGCTGAATATATATGCAACTATCCAGCAAAATTATTGATTTTAGTAACTAATATGTGTTTTCTAGCCTACATCTGAAAGTTTTGCATTCAGTAATATACCGCATCATTCATTAGATCCTTTAATTAATTCATTGACAAATACACCAATAAATTGTGTTTAGGCTTCTATTTAATCTTAATTATAATAATTGAATAAACTTGAAAATATGTGCTGTACATCTTTATTTCCCCTCTGGTATGAAAAGAAACAGCATTGATTACTTCTAAAAATACCAGGAATAGTTAAAGTAAACATTGAAAGAACTTGTTTACGATCAGAATCAATTACGTCTTCGATATTGATATATCATTTCTTTTTTTTACCTCACAAGTTTTGTAGGTGTACTATGGAAATACTATGTAAAACTATTATTGAATATATCAGGCATAGATGAATTCATTTAGGTATAGATGGTATATACTTCAGTTGGAATAGAATTATGTATTATCATTAAACCTTAAGTGGTATGCTATTATTTATTGGCTAATAGCCTATTACACGAAATATATACCATCTTAGGGAGTTATTTTGTATGAAATCAATTAAATAATAAATTTTAAATCCCTCGCCGAATATCAGTGGTTTAAATGAATTACGTAATATGTATGGATCTTGATCAAATGTGTTGGTAACATTCATTTATAATTTAGTATCAACTAGAAGAAATCACTACTGTACTGTGTCAAATATTAGTTCGTTTATGGATGGTTGGATTTTGGAAAATCAGAAATGCATTACGAAAGTATAGCTAACAGATTGCTGCGAATACTGTGTTGTGTTGTTAAGGAAAAATGCTATTTGTGGGGAAATTCAGCAAACTATGTGTATTAAATACATCTAGTACAATAGGAGATTTCGTTTACTGAAACCTTGATAAATACATCAAGATTTATCCTATAGAAATAAAGTATAAAATCAGTTATATTGTGGATACGCCCTGCTGAGAAGTCCCACAATAGGACTAAACGACTGTTCAGTGCTTCCAGGTTTTCCTTGGTGGTCTAGCTTCAAATGACTCATGCTTTCAACTATGTTATTTATGAAACTACTGAATAAATGAAATGATCAAAGTAGTACACGGCATAGCGAGAATCAAAGTTCTAGATATAAAAAGTGTACTTGGTTCAGTGTGAATAAAAACCTTTATTGTGCGAGATTTTCCGTTTTTACTTGACATCGTAGGGATTACAATAAATCCCTTTCCCTAAGTAACAAGAAGTATGACCTAAAAGAATCGGTTCACTGGAAATAATTTACTTCAAAAAAATAGTGCCAATTGCATTTATCATTACTATCTAATATTACACCCCTGAATCAAGTCAACATTGATAATCCAACAAATCGGTACATTAAATGAGACGAATTAATTCATAAATATACATTCAAATCACTCCTAATCAAATCTATTATCTACTATTATTCACATGGATTTGTGTTTTCTCATTGTTGACTATCAGAACTGATTTATGAACTTCTTCAACTTATGTTTGAATGATACTTACCTTTCAAACTTTCTTTTCTTTTTTTGAGTAATATTTAAGAGTGATCTCATTGTTGTTCTGATTTGAAACTCATCAGCTAATGCATTAAATAGGGATTTGAAGTAAATCTAACGTTTGGCTTGGCAATCTGGTCCAATCTTTTTTTCATTTGCTGAGATTTTACAAATATATATATTATTCCTATTTTTAATGTCTTACATCAACTCGAGGCGCCTAAAATACTGTGAAACTATTCGCGCTAATTTAGACGAAAGTTCTTATATATCATCAGCTAATGGTTTTAATAAAAGTTTCTTAAATCTTAATAAACAATAATGAACATTGTATTTCATGAATAACATAACGTATTCAACTTTGAAGTGATCAGTATTGATTTTCAATTTCAAAGTGAACATCAATTATGGAATATAAATACATCTATCTAGCAAATCCCACAATAAAATGAAACATACTACTCAAATTATACAGTTATCCTCTTACTTCAAGATATAAAGGATCCTCATATCATCAAATAATTTGATTATGAAAATGTACAATCAATTATCCTTATCTATTGCCAGGCGAAACGTTGGATTTACCTCATGGAGCCAGTAATGATTATTATTATCAGAAAGGGATTTTATGGAGATTTTATTAATTTCATATAGTTTGAGATCATGAGTAAATTGAAGCTAAACATTTGTTTATGTTACTGACTGAGTGAGTTAGAACCCGGGTTCTTTAGTATCTATAATTCGATAGGTATATCGCAAAATATTTCAATTCAGCTAGCTCTCTAATCACTATGTATGGATTAAAGTTTAAATCTTCAATCTATGAGTTAAAATCTATCTATCAAGTTAGAAATACTGTGTACTAGTTATTGTATAAATGAGGATGGTTTTAAAATAATTACATTGGGTAATGTATGAAGAGTTATTCGACTTATAATGTGTGATTTCTTATAAGAATAAACTATTTGAATAGGAAAAGCTCCTTGAAAAAGCTTCGAACAGATTGCCAAGCGAAACGTTGGAATTACTTCAAATTCATTCTCTGAGATTTTACAAATATATATATATATATATTATTCCTATTTTTAATGTCTTACATCAACTCGAGGAGCCCAAAATACTGTGAAACTATTCACTCTAATTTAGACAAAAGTTCTTATCTATTTCAATAGTATTTTTAAATAAATATTCAAAAAAAGAAAAGAAAACCAAAAAAACGGTGATAAGTAGACTCTTTTTTTTTAATTTTATTTACTGACTTACCAAACCAATCAGTTCATAACTCCCATGAATAGATTCTGTTTTAACTACGAAATGAAAGAGAAAATGTAATAAATTTATAAGATGTCTACTCACCAAATATTAATCCAATACATTGTAATAGAATAGTAATAAAAATAATAATAATAATATTATTATTATTATTGTTGCTATGAGGGTATGGTATCATATTCATGAATGTAAAAAAAATCTGTAAAGTTATAAAGATTTTAAATATTAATCTTTTTTTTAAATTATAACATACATTCATTTATTCACCATCTATGATGTATATTTAAATAAACAGTAGATATACAAACCCATAGTAACAGAATTGAAATACTATTCTTTCTTTCTTTTTTTGTTCTCCTTTTTTTTAATTTTTCTTTCTCTATCAAAACAAAAAATTTGTAAATCAATTTTGTAGGTTTACTCAAATGTAAAAAGAAAAAAAAATTTATTCATTACAATAAGAGAAAATAAAACAAAAAATTTTTTTCATTTTCAATAGTTATTTATAGTCTACATTGTTTTTTAATTTTAATAAATTTTTTTTTAAAAAAAAAGAAAAATGGAGTTTTAAATATTTACCTTGATGGAGTTACCACGTGCACACATGCACACATACGCACAAATGTAGTGTGTACATCAATTCAATATATGGTTTATTTGTATTATTGATTTTATAAACTGTTATAAATATATAAGTTAAAGAATGTTACGTAATATTGAAAGAATAAAAGACTGTTGAGTTAGAAACAAATGTTTAAGTGAGTCCCACAATAGAACGAAACGGCTGTTCAATGGTTCCAGGTTTTCCATGGTGTTCTAGCCTCAATCAATTCATGATTTCAACTATATATATAAAAAATTACTAAAAATCACTACAGAAAATCCCATTATCATATGATCACAAGTGACTGGCTCCATTAGGTATTTCCTAAAGTTCTAGTGAGAAGCAGTAACCAGTGGAGTACAACCAGGTCTGTTGGGAGATATCAACTCACTGAAGACATTGGTGAATGGTTGCTCAACTTTGTGGATTGTTTGAAATTAGACATTAGCACCATTGGATGCCGGCCAGCTCAGTAGTCTGTCGGTTAAGTGCTCTGGCGCGAGGTCCTGGGTTCGAAGCTCGTGAGGCGTGATCGTGGATGCACACTGTTGAGGAGTTCCACAATATGACGAAATGACCTTCCAGTGCTTCCAGGTTTTCCATGGTGGTCTAGCTTCAATTCATTCATGATTTCAACTATATAATCGATAAATTGTTGAATTCATGAGTCGGATTAACCTAGATAATCAGTGGAAACATGGTAGCATAGAACAGTTGTTTCATTTTAGTACGGGACGCTTTAACAGTATACATCCATGATACCACACGGTGGATTTGAACTCAGAACTTTTGGTTTTGTGAGCGAACGCTCAAACTGTAGACCAATGAATCGACATACAACAGTGTTAATGTCTAAATTCAATCGATCCATGATCTTGTGAAACCTTAAGTTTATTTTCTGAGGTAGATTATTGTCTCCATTCGATACGGATTGGACTCCACTGGCTACAGCTTCTCACTAGAACTTTAGGAAATATATTTGAAGCTAATCACTAGTGAGCACATATTTATTATCAGAATGGAGAATGAGAAGTCCCATACTAGAACAAAACGGCTATCCAGGGCTTCCAGGTTTTCAATCGTGGTCTAGATTAGATTGACTTATGAATTTAACCATTAAAATTACTGCAATCTCCACAAATCCGCATTCTGATAGTCATCAAATAGCTTAGACAAACTAGGAATAAAAATCAGTAAAAATTCAATTAGTTAAAAACATACTTATCATGTTAGTTGATGAACGGTAGTCGATAAGAAAGGTAATATGTAGGATTCTTGCTAGTTTGCGCTAGTCGACAACAAGTACTTACAACTTGAAGAGAAACGAACCGACTTTTGAAATTTCAACTCTCACCACACATCTTCCCAGTCTCAGGCATTAAAACTGAGCTATTCAGACAGTTGATAACTTTCTGCAGCTTTGAGATTTGTGCAGCTGTTCGATCACTTAGTAATCACTTAAAACATTGTTTCTAAAAAGAAATTACATAATACGTATACATAGCCTTTGATTATCAGTTTGCATCTCGTGATGTATTCTACAATCTGAATTGTTTTCTCGTCTGGTCATCAAGTATTCTGCCTATACCGTGCTTTTGACATACTAAAACTCTTCACTCGGTTTAACGTTCCGCAACATACCGCTTACAAGGAATCTTGTGATAAGGGTCCACTATACTACTACCTCCAACTACTAACATCTTAGAGTGGTGGGTGCGATAATGAATCACGTAATCGAGTGCTTATATACAAACGGAGTCGACAGAATTCCATCAGGACTAAAGAACTAGACAAACTCCCAACTGGTCACTACTCAGGTTTATTGGCATTAATATTAAAATGTACTCGTGTTATAGTTTTGTATTTGCTACCCTTTAATCTTTCCAACTTAGCATTCATGCAACGCTTCAGTATTCATATGACATTATTAATATAATCCAAATTCTCCATTTAACATACGATTTCTATTCACTTTAAATTACTATCTGAGAATTCTTGTAATGTATAAATGTAGTGATAATCCACACGTTCGTTTCCAAATATATGGACACTTTTGTTATTTGGATGTGTTTTTATTTCAATTTTCATGCTGATAATTTGGATTTTGTATATAGAGATATGTCTCTTAACAATTTACTAAACTGGATGGTGAACTACAACAAAGGTTCACAGGAGTCGATGAACTATTTTAAGGAGTTATATTGGATAGCTATTTGATACTAGTTATATATTACTTCCTAGACGTCTATACCGATCAACATTTTATACAGCCGCCGGCATGATAACTTTAGAAAAACAAAAAAATATGAACCCAAGAATTTACATTTACTACACCTTTCAACGTACAACATTCAGCCGTTGATATCCGATGTCTTCGGTAATTTCTGTCACATTTATGATATAGTTGAACATTATGTGTCAAGACTTATCACTAGAACTTTAGAAAAACATCTTGAGGTAAGTTATTAGTACGTACACAATTAGTAGGAACATCAATCTAAATTCTAGTTTGTAAATAAATTAGATTCTTTGTAGTCTACTTTTTATTTTCATATATTCAACTGATTGTTTACAGAATGGATATGATAGCTAGATTGATTTACTTGAATTGTCTGAAAATTTAAATTAGATAACTTTACATCCGTTTATAAGTATCATTAACAAGGTTTGACTTGATAATGTCGAATAAATTAGGTATTAGGTGGATTGTCATAAATAAAAATGATATATTTGTAATATCCTGATAAGTAGAAAAATTAGACTTTCTGACGTTTCGTCACTCAATGTAAGCCACTTCTTCAGAGAACAAATAACCAAATTAACATTAATCCAAGTTTAAATAGTACAACGGAACAATAAGAATACCATGTGATCAGTCAAAAAACAGATTGATATGTGACCATAATGGTGATAAAGGATTGAGTTTAATTTGTAAGATAATAGCATGAATTGTGAATAATATGAAACTAGGTGGCTAGGATAGATAGTCCAAGTAAGATATATGGTAAGGTCTTTTCTATTGAAAGAAGTAGGATTCAACATTATATGAAAAGCTTCAGCTACTCTCTGTTCTTTGTAATTGGAAAAACCATTTTGTAATATTTTGATATTTTTCAAATCGATTTTGTGGTTGTTGAAAATACCGTGAACTTCTATTGCCGATTTTATTTGAAGTCTATTCAGTTCTACAAGATTATTAGGAGGTTTCTATGTGTACCTAATATGTTCCTTGGCTTGAGTCAAGATTTCGCGAGATGACTCTCCAATATAGAAGGCATCACAACTGAGACAACCTGATTTGTGGATACAGTTCTGTGTTGACACGAAGGGTTTTTTTTCTTTTAAACGAACCGAAGTATTTCAAAGTGTGTTCGTTGTTTTGTAATATACTTTAATTCTGTGTTCTATTAAGATTTATTGGAGTTCCGTTGTGCCATGACGGTATGGTAAAACTGCAATACCAATCCATGGTATTTCATTAGAATTATTATTATTAATACACAATGAAACGTCATGTTTTAATATACTTCTAATAATCTTCATAGGGAAATTATTAAATTGTAAGATGCTGATTATATTATTTTGTTCTTTTTGTTTATCCTCTTCCGATGTGATAATCTTGTTGGCTCTTGCAAAAAGATTTAGGGCTAGCGAGATCTTTGCACTGAAAAACTGTGCTGTATTGAAATCTATATGACGATTGGAGTGTATAGGTTTTCGGTAGATGGATAGATTTAAAATTCCATTTAGATTTCTTTTCACTAAGTAATCTAAAAATGGTAGTCCGCCACGTTCATTTTCATTCTCTTTCATAAATTTGATGTGTGATCCGTTTCGAAAAAGATCCAAATGAGTATTTTTATCACAACAAATGTATCATCTACATACCTAATCCAAATTCATGATTTAATGTCATTAGTGAAAATATTCGATTCTATGTGTGCCGCAAACAGGTTGGCTATAATCGGGGACACGGGGAATCCAATTGCTACACCGTTAGTTTGTTTGCATAGCATCCCGTTTGATCAAATTCATAAATATTGTATTTATTATTGAAAGATGAAATTGAAAGTTAGTACCGGTTGTCACAGGTTTTAAACCACCATATTAATGAACTAGTGTCTTATAGAATAAAATGTATGACAATTATTTTATCTAGTTTATACGTAGAAAGCACAAATTTAATCAGCCAGTTACCGTTTTCAAATAATTCAGCTTCAGTTTACAGTTTGGTAACTTTCTGTGACGAGAATATAATTTATGAACGAACCAATCAGGTATTATATAACAGGTCTCGGATTTTGGCACGAATTTCCCTCATACGTTTGACTAAATAAAGTTTTGGTATTATAGCTGATGTCAGTTCATGATCAAAACCCTAAATTTAATTCCTAACCTTAACGACCAACTATAAATCATAATTCTAATTCCTCACACTGGTTTATAACCTTCATTTAGTCCTAATTATTTGGTAGGAATTCTCAAGATCATTTTAGCGTCGCTCAAATGTCGTCTAAAAATTATAGCCTCACCCTCCTTATTTATTTTTCGGTACGGTAAAATGCTCAATAACTGATTTGAGACTAAAACCAGGTCGATAACTGAGTATTACGGTTTTACTGAAGTATACGGGTAGGAATGTAATCCAGAAGCATATAATCTGAACACTAGAGTAATCCACGCTTTCGTCTGAATTACATCATCATCAATAAATATACCACCGAAGTCATTTCAAACACTTTAGCTGAATTAATTATTTCCACTATGAGACGTAGTGCATACCATTAAGTGGAATATGATCAGTTCCTATTTGAAACGATAGATAACCATTATCATTTAAAATATATTATTAACCTATGGTAAAATATCTATTTAAACGTAATCCTTTACAAAATACACATCTTCTGACAAAGACTAATCAAAATCTAATAGTGAATATCAACAAAAGCAGAGCTCAAATGCTCATCATTCTGTTTATTTATAATTGCTGATCGATCAATATCGATCAAGTATATTGTGCATATCAAGCTTAGAGTGATTAGAGTGGTTAAATGATAAGATCATCTTCACTTGTAACCAGTCTAGAAAAAAAGACTATTTTCGGAAGTAAATTATTACCAACGGCCAGCTAATCACAATTAATACCTCACTTGAATATTAATATAGTGGTATTTATAGAGATTGTTGAGTTTTCATTGTTTAAATCACTAATTGATCTTAGCTGGGCTACCACTATTTGTTTATCAACGACGTAACAATAAACGCAGTAATATCGGAAACGCATTCAACATGTTTCCTAACATAATCTTTAGATGAATATAATTGTACCTAAATTGTAACTGGAATCTTAATATTTATGTCTGTTTACGTTTATATCCACATGTGGGAAGTAATTGGTAGGATTACTTACTTACGCCTGTTACCCTTCGTGGAGGAGCATAGGCCGCCCACTGGTATTCTTCATCCAACCCTGTCCTGGGAAATTTTTTCCATTTCTTTCCACTTTTTATTCATCCTTTTCATATCTGCTTTTATTTCCCGGCTCAATGCGTTCTTTGGCCTTCCTCTTTTCCGCTTCCCTTCAGGATTCGAAGTTAGGGGTTGTCTCATTATGCAGCTTAGTAATTTCCTTAATATGTTTCCCATCCACTTTCAACGTCTTTTCCTAATGTATAAACACTATACACAACATACAGAACTCTTTGAATCCGTCTTATTGGGCAAAATATGGAAGCAAGTCATTTTTGTTTACTATCCATAAAAATAATTTCTCCAAAACTTCACCAAAAGATGTTTAAGAAATTGACGTCTTATTTAAAAATCATATCCATAAACTCGACATCAAAAGTTCTCTACGAAAGACATTTTAAAACTCGCCGAAATCAGCATTGTGTGAAAAACAGTAGTTTCACAATAATCTGCTCCTTGAAGACCAGAAGAATGAACGGAGGTGGAAGACAAAGTAAACATCATCTACAGATTAAAACACATCAACTAAGAGACGAACGAGGTTGAAAAATTGGATTCAAACTACATATGCACATACAGAAACACAGACTAGCAGTGAAAAGACATGATATGGGATCATGAAGATTTTCGATTTCTGGGTTCAGTGAGTTACCACACTACCGAAAACTTTGTAAAATTATGTGGATTCAGGTTATTAATCTATCTAAAGAAGTAACCTTCGACTTCAGCAGATTGCGCTCCGGTGATATAGAAACGAAATGTCGATGTAGAGGCATAAATGTGTGTGTGATTTTGAACTGTTTATGACATTGCACGGTTAAGAAATCAGTCGATAGATCAAAATACAGATCAAAATTTTTTTATTTCCAATGGATCTCTATAACTTAGACATTGCATCATACCGTTCATCAGAGTTACTTTCTTCTTCACAATGTGTGGTGACAGTGGTGCCCATAGTAAATATTGTATATCCCACTTTTCACCCACTTTCCAATGATTAAAAATATTTTTTTACATTCAAATACTTTTTTTACTGATATGTATCATATATTCTAGTCACATAACTTTATACTACTTTATGTATATTTCAGTAGTAAACTTTGTTGAAAGAAAACATCCAAATGGCTAAAAGTTGTCGATATAAAAAGAACTGATTTAATTGATTGTACCATGACGATACTTATATAGAACATGCAAATATATCCTGAAATTAGAAAAAAACAATATCATTCAAAGTTTAATTAGAGTTTGTGCTAACATGAATTGGGGTTGGGTAAATTAATATATACTCGTTGGTGAACTTTGAGCCTATCTAATAAAAATAATAGATTATTGAGTTCAAAACTCATTTGAAATGTGAAAAACTCGCGTGAAATGGTGTAAACATATTTAATAGGTAACTGGTATGACAACTCAAACTGATGTACGTACGTACGAAGGTCTACGTTGTGACAGACTGACTGATTCACCATTTCGAAGTAATTAAATTAACTATTAGAAATCTATTTACAAATTTTTGAGTCAAGTTTTTTTGTTCTTGATCGTTCTCCTTTAAATGAAGACCCGCAGATAAAAACAAAAACTGGAAATAAAACTTTCCAACCGAATAGTGTTTAATATGATGTGAATAAAATAAACACGGACAAGAAACCGTCCTGTTCAGATTTGTTCGAATTTGATTCAAACTATTTCGGTTGTTGTAACTTACAAACATAGTGATGTTAGTTTAGTTTTAATATAAGTTCTTATTTAAGGAAACCATATTTGGTAGTACTAATAATAAAACATTTTGCTCACTTCCAAATGTCATTTACTTTTTTTTGATCATTTATTGATGATGTCGTTAACTTTACAAAAGAGCTTTACAAATCATATCAAGTTTCTCCTGTCTATTTATGAAGATAGCTTTTCTGTCGAAAGTCTTTCACCGTCTTGCTTTTTAATTAAGATTTTTTTATTTGTGCCACAAGACTTTCTTCACAGATATTTGAAAAAGGTCAGACATTTTGCATAACAACCGTTCTTAAGAGGCATTCTAAATTCAAATGTCTGTCCTGCTCATAAATTTCTTTTCGTTATTTAGAAATAACATGTTGTGTCATAAGAAATGACACATTACATTTTTATTGAGTTGAGTAAGTTTACACCTCAAGGATCGACCTAACTATTTTTAAGATTGTAAATTTTAGGGCTTTAGGGACATGAAACAGTTAGATCGATTAGTTATTAGCATTCAGTCAAAATTAAGAAGTAATTTGGAAAAATAAGAAACAGAATGTGCGAACCAATTAACCAAACAAAAGCTACGGTCTTTACAAATAATTTGATCATTATATATAGTTGAGATCATGAGTCAATTGAAGCTAGACCATCATGGAAAACCTGAAAGCACTGGACAGACGTTCCGTTCTATTGTAGGACTCCTCACTGAAGACATTGGTGAATGGTTGATCAATTTCGTGGATTGGTTGAAGTTAGACATTAACACAGTTAGATCGCGGCTCAGTGGTATATCAGTTAAATGCTCTGGTTCGAGACTGATAGGTTCTGGGTTCGAATCTCGTGCGGCGGGATCGTTGAGGAGTCTCATTATAGGAGGAGTTTGCCGTTCATGGCTTCCAGGTTTTCCATTGTGGTCTAGCTTCAATTGACCCATGATTTCAACTATGTAAAATCATTAAAATCTCCACAAAAGTTCCTTCTGATAGTTTGATCATTACATTGATCATATAATCATTCAGTTTAAAAAGTGATGTATTTCAGGAATTTCGGTGAATTTTTTATTAAGATAATCTGTTTGAACTGAAGATTTATTACAATGAACAAATTTGGCTTGTTATGCCAACGAAATAGGCAATTTTACACTAATAACCAATCATATTAAAAAACATTTAAACATTTTCAAGCCAATCAATTCAAACATTAAGGGAAATTAAACTTTACCCCATTGCACAAGAAAGTGGCTAAGAGGACTTAGTAGCTGTGTGGATAACGCGATGACGTTTGAAGCGAAAGGTACTGGTTTCGAGTCTCATAGTGAACATAAACTTTGAGATGCAGGTACATCCAGTTGAAGAGTCCTAAATAGGATGAAACGCGCATACTAGATTCCACTACTAGCCACTATCCATCTTTGCTCAAAATCGAATTGTTTGTTTATTTTATCTGTTTCATTCATAAATTTTTTTTCTTTGAATTAGGTATTAGCTTAATAAATCTATTGAAAGATTCATAAGATGGTATTATTTACCTTCTAAATGTGATAACACTAAATAACTGTCAATATTCCTAGTACAAAATCGACACAATATACAAGTGACGATACTCAACCATCAGTGAACTGAACTAATGATTTGTAACTCAGATGAATGATTTTAATGAATTTTTATTGTCAGAGTTAAATTGTTTAATCGTAGACTGTTCATCTTTATTCTGAATAACATTATTAATACAAAATTTATATAATAGTCTACTTCTACCTGATGATTTCATTCATAATAACAATGAAATCTATACAACTAGATTATTCAACTCAAAGAACAAAACTTAATCAATAAACAGTATCTATGATATCATAGAATTGGTATCTAAGAAATTATATATAATAATGTTTTATGACAGAAAATATTTGTGAAAAAAATAAAATTAAAAAAAAAACAACTAATATATCATCATAAAATCTCTTATCTTCAAGTACACTTGAACATAAGTGGAGACAATCGAATGTATTTAAGCACAAATTACAGACTATCTCACTTAATTCTGATAACCATACAGTAAACAGTTAATTTGAAAAATAACAATCAATTGTCTCAATCTTCACTGTCCCTTCTGTAAATATCAGACTATTTTTTCTGATTATTATTGTTCATGCATTTTCGTACTGATTGCGCTTCATTTCAGTCCTTTCTTTATCGGTTTTCTGCCAAAATATATTCTATGTCTGACCATCACCATATAATACTTATATGGATATAAGTAGACCACAGTACACTACTACTGCTACTACTACTACTAATAATAATAATAATAATAACAGTAATAAATCTTAAAATTGAATTCATTTAATGAAGCTTAATATTCTGTACACAACATTTGAATCAAGTTATAATTGATAGTTGAGCTCATGAATCAATTGAAGCTAGACAACCATGGAAAACCTGGAAGCACTGGACGGCCATTTCCTCCTATTGTAGAACTCCTCAGTAGTGCACATCTACGATCCTGCCTCACGAGATTCGAACCCAGGACCTATCAGTTCATGATCTCAACTATTTAAAATTACTACAATATCCACAAAACCCCCCTGTGGTTCTAAATGATAATCTTAATACAAATATATAAATTCTCAAGTAACTCTTTTATATTATACTAAAAGGTTCATGAAAACAGTTAAATTTTAAAAGCAAGTTTACATTATGGATTGAATCAAGCTCGTGAAATCATAAAACATTGAATAGGTACTTTATTTCACTTTGAAACTTCTTAGAAATATCTCCTACAACCTTGTCAAAGAAGATATTACTGCCTAAATGTTATAAACGAGTGGCCGGAGTGTCCTTTTTTATATGACGTGATGATTCTCGCCAATAAGAATACAGTGAAATATCGATCGGACCAGTGATACACGAAAACTGATCCCCACCAATCAGAGATGAGTGAATTATCGATCAGAGCAATGATACATAAAAACCGTATGAGCAGTGTTGATTACTTGTCAGTCCTGCTGTCTACCCAACAGAGCCAGTTAAGTCCAGAACACTAATAACAGCCTCTGTAATATGAATCATTATTCACAAGCATACTGGGTTTATACACCGAACAAACTGACCACATTGTACCATAAAATAGGAAACAAAATTTGCACAAGATCTCGCCAAATGTGGCTGTGAATAGGGGAAACAGTAATTAACGGGCTGGGGATAACTCAAGAATAGTAAATCATATAATAATAGTCTATAGGTCAAAATAAAGCTTTTAATAGGAGGGACACGAATATGAATAGTTGAGTTACTTAACAATTATACAATAGGAAATATACATATCACATTGGTCCATAAATGGTCCTCTAAAGTTACTATTCACAATTCTCTTCGGGTTTTAACACTAAAGTTTTAAGTAGAATCAATTATTAGTGAAATTTAGTAACATTTAGACTGAAATAGATTTACTCGATAGCAATAGATGTTAGTCAAAGAAAATTGTAAAGTTATTGAAGCTCGAAATGAGTGACTTTAGAGACAAACACATTGGACCATAAAGAAGTTGAAAGGAAACCTGAAGAGAATAAAATTTGTTCCTGATACTTTCTTTGGTTTCTGATTGTAATGTGACAAACAGTATGCACTAATACGAAATCAAACATTCCATCACGTTAACTGTCATAATTTGATGTGTAAAGGAAGGTTTTTTCAAAAAAAGAAATAACATGAAGGGCTATTCCTGGCGGATCACATACTGTTACAAGTCCAGGCAGATCATATGCCTTTGCAAGGACACATAATAAGTAAGCAAAGTAATTTTGAGGGAGCCTACTGTGAGTAGGCGATTGGTTTATTAATCTTACCGGCGTGATTACCAACATATTTCTTTCAAAATCAGTCTAGGACTATATAAATATATAATTTATGTGAATATTCATTCACCCTTTCATAATAAAGCTTTCTACCAACTATATACCTTCTTATTTACCACTGGAGGTTGAGTAGGAGTCATGAAGGTTGCAGTGTTGACCAAATTGTACTAAAGAACGTAACACAATAAAGTTACTTCATTTCTACTAGTAGATAGCGAACAGTTTGTAATATCATAATGTTTTTTTAATGAAGCACTAAAAGTAAACGCATTTATCGTGTCATATACACGACCATAGAAACCATAATCTTGTCGAGATTGAACAAATGGTCAAGGTTTAACCTGACTAAGAAAAACAGACACCTTTCCGAAATCAATTTAACTGTTGTCTGAATCAAATAAATCCCTGCAATTATCCAGTCCTTGTTTCATCAAAACATTCTTTGCTTTCAATTTTTCTGAATCACTGTGATGATACTTTTTGTCACGAATTGTTATATCAGTATTATTGGCTACGTGATATCTAAATCCTCATTAGATAATGTCAGTCAATAATAAAAATTGTCCTTTTATTAATTTCAGTTACTAATGTGGTGCGCTACTGATGTTGGCAGTATTATGCATCACTAATCGGAAGTGGAACTACTGGCGACAGAAGGTTGTGAAGATCAAAAAGAAGAGAACGAGAACAGATAATGATTGGTGTGGAAACAAAAAAACAATTAAGTCTAAGACAATTGCCCGACAGTTTACAAAGGAATTGTTTACTGTATGATTCTCAGATTTTACTAAGAGACTGTAATTCTGTATTCAAATACGTTTGGTTGTCACACCTATGTTCTTGCTCGCTACACTAAATCATGAATAAACAGGATGAATCTAGCAAGATATCTTTTAGAAGTAACAAAAACTTAAAAATTTCGCTTTAATGTTTCAAGTCACTACATTGACATATCATTGAGAAGTAAACAGTATCGCGTTTGTGTAATCCTTCAAGTAGATTAAGATATATATATATCGATCAAGTGACTATAGAATTGCTAGTTTACATCGTTTGACATTTAGTGTATTATATCTAAATGTTAAAACATCATGAACATCAACTCTGAGATGCAGGTACATTCAACTGACGAGTCCCAAATAGGACGAAACGCGCGTCCTGGATTCCACTACTAGCCACTATCCATCTTTTCTTACAATGATTGTGAATTAAGGCTATATCGAGGCAATACGTACAGTATGCACATATGGCCAACAAGTGATTGATCAATCGAAGTCCTAAACATCAATGGGAAGATTCAGACAAACAATACTAAGTGAATCTACTAATTGGTCCTAGATTTTTAAAAGATATTTCTTCTCAAAATATCATACTATGAAAAAAACATTCTGGTCGTGAATATTCATAAAGTAGCTTACCTCACAAACTTTGTCAGCCTTTATATTTCCTATAAATTTGTTGATAATTTTAATGATTGTTGAACTGAATAATGATGCACACTGTAAAGTAACAAAGTAACAATGTAACGACTATTCAGTCGAAGTTTTGTGGAGTTAATTCAAAAGTTGTATTCGAAATATATTGATCTTATTTGTGGTAATGATGAAAACTAAGAAGAACTGAAAAGATGCATAGTCTTAGTACAAAAGTCTTTAGCAATGTATAGTAACTATTTCAAAATATTCTCAATGTTTTCTTGGAAACTTTTGACCGATGGAGTCTAGATGTGTCTAGAATGAATTGGCATTGGATAATTGTCCAACTTTATAGTAAACTGACCGAAGTTGGAAAAGTGTCGCTGAACACCAGTACAGTGGTTCTAATGGTTGAGCATTTGCCACGAGGACTCAAGGTTCAAGGCCTCATTTTGAAGAAGACGTGGGTGAGCACTGATGAGGAGCACAGTGTATGAACGTTGCCGACATTCAGTGTTTCCATTTCTTTGTTTGTGTAAATTATTATTTCATCACTTTGAAATCATGTTTTATTAAATAATTTAGTCAGTTTTGCTAGCGTAAACCACACGAATCCTGCAGTAGTTCAGTGAAGTTGCAGAAATCAGTAATACTTCAACCAAATTTTATGGTATGTTGTGTAGTCTTCAAAAAAGAGAATTTAATTAATAGTCAATTGGTGCTTTTTTACTGAAATTAGGTGCTGATGTCATTTTCATTTAGAACAACGTTAAAACAATCAGCTTATGAAAAGTCGATACAATCAGAAACATTTACTTGGACAATAAAATATCTGTACTATTTCAAGAGTTATGAATTTGATATCAGTTTTGTCCTAGTTTAGGCCTGTTACTTGATAATATATACCTCAGATGAATAATCTGCCCCCAAATGCCCTGATACGGCCGAGAGTGGGGAAAGTCAGCTCTCCCTCTCCGGATGCTTTCACATGGCCACATATATATAGCCTCTGTTAGGGAAGTCCTACTCACTGCCTTCTCACAGTGGCGAGGATGTTGTTTACAAAATTGAAAGGACGAAAAACGAATGTCCGGCGCCTTAATCGGGCTGGTGGACACGGAGAGTCCACCTAGGGGACTTGTCAAACCCTTATTCCAAACCAATGGTGCACCTGAGCCGCAGTATCCTGAGGGGACAACTAGCGTATAAATCAATCGTTGATCACCGGCTACCATGGGACCGCACTCTTCACGATGCTCCACTATCTTGTGGATCAGATCCTTAGGTCAAAGGCTCTGCGTGTTGCTCCCTAAGAAAACCACCTGCTTCAGTTTGGGCACCTGGGTAATATTATAGCCCTCACACAAATCGAATGAAATTTGTGCGGCGCATGTATATATGGTGCCGTTTTCTATCAATATTTATGTGTTTAAATAAATAAATAAAAATAATCTTTATGAATACTTATTTCAATATTTGTTATTTATTAATATTATTGATTCAAAGCAAAACCTTACATTATCACGAAGCGGGCCAGTATATTTACATCCATTGACAAGTTTTATTTCCCATTTCAATTGAAAATCAAAATTTGATAAATCATTTATTATATTACCAATTGTCTTTTTGCAACGACCACATACTATAAATGAATAATGTCAATAATCATTACGAAGATATTACCAAAGGTATAAAACTATATTCCTCACTGAATGCTATTAAGAATAAGTTTCATTGATATAGTTGAGATCATGAGTCAATTGAAGCTAGACGACCAAGAAAAACCTGGAAACACTGGACGGCCGTTTCGTTTTATTGTGAGACTCCTCGGCAGTGTGCATCCACGACCCCGCATCACGAGATTCGCACCCAGGACCTACTAGTCTCACACCAGAGCGCTTAACCGATAGACCACTGAGCCGGCATCCGACTGATTGTCTTCAAGAGATATTTCCTGGAGTTCTAGTGAGAAGCAGTGACCAGTGGAGTTCAACCAGGTCTGTTGGGAAATATCAACTCATTGAGAACATTGGTGAATGGTTGCTCAAACATCGTGGATTGGTTGAAGTTAGACATTAACACCGTTGGATGCCAGTTGGCTCAGTGGTCTATTGATTAAGTGCTCGTACGCGGGACTGATAGGTCCTGTGTTTGAATCACGCGAGGCGGGATCGTGGATGGGCATTGTTGAGGAGTCCCATAATAGGACGAAATGGCCGTCCAGTGCTTCCAGGTTTTCCATGGTGGTCTAGCTTCAATTGACTCATGATCTCAACTGCATAAAGTTACTAAAATCTCCACAAGACCCCCTTCTGATAAGTTTCATTTAGTTTAATTCCACTACATCGAACCAATAGACCAAGTTAATTGGTAATTTTATCATAGCACAATGAAAACTTTATTGAATGATAAATATGACACTTATTGAATAAGCCAATAAATATCGTGAGTCAGTAATACAATAACAAATCTATTGTCGTTTAGTAGTGTGTTTTTTAATTCAATTGAGGTAGTTTTGTTTCTACTAAAATAGAAATCAAATCTGACTTTGATGGAGTTTTGTTTTCTGAGCTGGATGGTTTGGTCGTGGAGCTCTCATCGTCCTTCTGAACGACATCATCAGTATAAACTATATGAAATTTTAATGAATAATCACTTGATCTTAAATTTCATTATTCAGCTGAATAAGGTTCATGTTTTACATGTTTTCTTGAAGATAAGTCAGTTTGACTTTAGTTACCCAGTACATGATCTACTCAATAAATACGGGATCTAATCGACAAAGGGAAATCTATGATTTTTTAAAGATTGCTTATAAATGTAATGTAACATAGGGAACATCTATTTTCATATGAAATAAGGGTGTTAGTGTAGTTCGTGAACATTAAACCATATAGACTATAACGGCAGTTTATGTTGGAATTTAACAAAATTGTATAATGTTCTGTGCTTACCAACTGATGACTCAGTGTCCGAATGGCTGGTTCTAAATTATAAACAAAACTATCTTTTGTTTACACTGTTTTAAAAAAAGTATTAACTGTTAAAGATACTAAAAAATACCCGATTTTCAAGGACTTCCAGTGATGTTTTGAACAATGATTAAGGAGATGGAACAGTTTGAATGGATACCATGAATTTTATATAATTATGTATTCATGCTCTCTGTTTCCATACGTATTGAACAGACTATTTACTATGTTCAAATAGAAATGGTATATTTTTCGTTCGATTACAATGACTGCTACTTTACAAATAGTGATAATATTGTGTCTGTCTATAAAAGAGATCTTTCCCAATATTACCAATATCTCAAGTAGCAGTCTACTCATTCTGAGTAAAAGTTAGATTCATTACTTTGTTTTTGATGTAGGTTCGTTCTCTGAGCTGAATGGTTTGGTCGTGGAGCTTTCATCGTCCTTCTGAACGACATCGTCAGCACAAACTCATTACTTTGTCGTCTTCCATTCAACTCCTTTACCCTTGAGAAATATGTCCAATATATTTTACCAGTTACATAACAAATATATATACAGAAACTATCATTGTTAAATGTATTCATATGAATTGTATACTGAATAACGGTTATCTAGTAGTATCCCCTAAGGACTAATATTGTGTTGTTTTGGTTAAATATTGCTACGTTGTATACAGTTAATTAAGTCTTAGTCGTTTTGCACCCTTTTTTATTCTAGATTACTTATCTTCCAGCAGATAACAAACCAATTTTAATCGAACATCATTGGATATAAGCACTAACTGTAATTTCCTCATGCAGTAACTACACACTCAAACAAGCGGTCACTGGTTCTGTTTCCCAATACATATTGAGTTAAGATTTGAGTAAAGTCTTCTAGAAAAATACGTACAGTTTAGTTACCTAAGTAATTTCCACACGGATCAGCTGATCCGTCTAAAACATGGTTAAAAAATGACTTTTACATTAGGACTGATTTTAGTTAGACCACTCATATTCACTCGATAGCTGTTTGGCCCAATATTCAAAGTGATCCCAAATGTTTGTTCCTATTAATCTGTAGGTCAACTGTCGGTGTTTCAATAACGTGGGTTCTTTAATGATGTTTATAACTGTTCACATACTTCCAATGCTTCTAATTGTCAACTGTCCATATATTCACTTAGTACGTGATGAAGATTGTAAAACATCACTTCTAATAACATGATATATACAAACGATCTCTAAAACATTAGTTAAGAATACATACATAATAATAAGTGAACTAGTGATTACTTAAATTGCTTCGCAGTGTTATAGTTAAAAAGTCTGGTAATTTGTATGGTATATCAGCTGTTTGACACGTACAATATAGAAAATATTCACAAAATATCCACAAAAACCCCTTCTGATCTATAATCATATGCTCACTGGTGACTGACTGTAAGGAATGTTTCCTTAAGTTCTAGTGGGAAGCAGTGACCAGTGGAGTTCAAACCACATCTGTTGTAGAGATATCAACTCACTGAAGACAATTGGTGAACGGTTGTTCAAACATCGTGGATTGGTTGAAGTTAGATATTAACACTGTTGGATGCCAGCCGGCTCAGTGGTCTATCGTCTTAGTGCTCTGGCGTAAGACTGGTAGGTCCTGGGTTCAAATCTCGCTAGTTGGGATAGTGGATGCGCACTGCTCAGGAGTCCCATAATAGGACGAAACGGCCGTCCAGTGCTTCCAGGTTTTCCATCATTGTCTAGCTTCAATTGACTCATGATTTCAACTATGGAAATATAAACGTTATTTGATCTTTTATTTATAGACTAGGCAGGGCATAAAAAAGCTACACCAAGATATGAAACCATGAATTTCCAAATTAATTAATACCCATTTTTTTAAAAATAAACTCACGATCCAATGACTTTTCATTCTACAACCAAGATGATACAAAAAGTGGATAAGTAACAAATAAGATTTTTATGCACATGTTACCAAGTATAAAATTGATTGTTAATATTAGATGCATCATGAAAGTTTCGTTCCTTTCAGACTTCGTCAGTTGCTTATAATACGATTTTCAATAGTTTTCTTTTTAGAAAACAAAAAGCGTTATCTCTAGTAGTGGTTGAATGAAAACATGGGACATTTTTTTCTCGAAATGATAATTGTTTATCATTTCAGCGAACAAAACAGCGTTACAGTTTAACACGTTCTAAATAGTTATTGTAAACTTTGATTGAAGTAATAATGTGTTAGATGATCGGAGGTAATCTCCAAATAAATCTAGAAGCAAATTTCATATTATTCGAAACTCAATAACAAGGGACATATATTTGTTAAGGTTATAACTATTAAAATTTAACAACTTGAAGATTAGTGTACTGATTAATTATAGTCCTAAACACCAACGGGAAGATTCGAGTAAACAATACCAAATGAATTTAAAGTTCATCCCATTGCACAATCAAGTGGTTATCAGGACTTAATAGCTGAGTGGATAACGCGATGGCGTTTAAAGCAAGTGGTACTGGGTTCGAGTCCCAGAGTGAACATTAACTCTGAGATGCAGGTAAATTCAGCTGACGAATCCCAAATAAGGCGAAACGCGCCTCCTGGATTCCACTGCTAGACACTATCTATCTTTGCTTATAGTGTACTTTTGTTTCTTTCTTACATTTTACAGTTTATTTAAAAGTATTTGAAGTACTTTTTTACTAACTTGAAAATCATTTAATGTTTAACTGTAGATAAGAAGTTGGGACATTAAGTTAGATATGAGCTTTTATAATGTATATACAACTAATTGTTTGTAGATTTAAAGCAAGCATAAATACATATTAAACTACATTGAACTAATTGGGTACTCTGTTAAACCACTTTCATTAACGATTTATTATATAAGAAATATACTGAATAATCAAGCTATCAGTGACTGATAGTTACTCAAGAGAATATCTATTACAAATCAAAATAAAGTATAAATCTAGGCTGATGAATTTTATACTGGACAATATAACTTTCGTTAGTTAAATGAAATTGATTAAGGATTTTAATGGTTAATAAGAAAGATTGATTCAGTAAAGAGTTCTCTTTTCGGAAGAATGACATTCACATTCACTTTAGCAAGTTTAACATAATAACATGGAAATCGATTAAATTCCTTTATTATTGAAGGGTGCTTGAAATTTTTTAGTAAACAGAATACACCCATTGAGATATGAAATAAGAAAGATTGGTTCAATGAAGAGTTATCTAATGGGTTTTTGCTTTATTTTGTTAAACATGCTAAGATGAATGAGAATGTTATCTTTCCAAAAAGAGAACTCTTCATCGAAACAATTTTTCTTATTTCATATCTCAATAGGTCTATTCCGTCTACTAATTTTAATAGTCACAAAGTGATTCTTATCATGAAATAAAGAAACGTATAGTTTATTTGAGTTTACGGTTGAAAAGACATTGGAAGTGGATAGGACATACATTAAGGAAATCACCAATGTGCATCATGAGGCAATCCCTATCTTGGAATCCGGAAGGGAAGCAGAAAAGAGGAAGGCCAAAGAACACATTACGTCGGGGAATAGAAGCAGATATGAAAAGGATGAATAACAACTAAAAAGAACTGGAAAGGATTGCCCATGACAGAGTTGGATGGAGAATGCTGGTGTGCGGCCTATGCTCCTCCACGAGGGGTAACAGGCGTAAGTAAGTAAGAGTTTATGGTTCGTCAACTAATGTATACACCAATGATTAGGTCTAAGTAAGATTATCGACCATTATGTACCAAGTCAACTAAGTTGATAAGCATGTACAAAACTAACATTAAGCTCCAAGTAAACATACAATTGATGATACTTACTTGAAGATATTCATTATGAATAGTAAATCCTTTAATATAAGATAAACAGATAACAATAAGGAAAACTGTATAAAGAAATAATGATTAGTATTGAGACTATTGAATCTATTACATACTTAAGATAATTCTGAATTGAAATTGTCGGTTAAACATAATTGAAATTATAATAAGTTTGATAATATCCAATGGACTATTTAAAGTGTAATGATGGAAGATTATTAAAACGAATAAGAGTTAATAATTGAACTTTGAATTGTGATCTTAAAAAAAATTACGATCATTCTATATGTATATCAAATAGTTATTTACATTTAAGGTTGTTTTAAGACAATCGATATGTCTTTATTTTATAAGCAAAGATGGATAGTGTCTAACAGTGGAATTCAGGATGCGCGTTTCGTCCTATTTGGGACTCATCAACTGGATATACCTGTATCCGAGTTGATTTTCACTCTGGGACTCGAATCCAATACCGTTCGCATCAAACGCCATCGCGTTATCCATTTAGTTACTGAATCCTGATAGCCACTTATTTTTGTTCCATTGGGTGAAGTTTAAATTCACTTATTATTGCAAATAAAGGTCGACTGTAATGACCACTCATCTTTAATGTCACATCAGCAATAGTTTATTCACTGGATGTATTTGTTAAATTCATTTTCTCAAGGTATCTACCCCATATTTCATCAAATGTTCGTGTAGTTGCAGATTTCGACCAGGTCATTAAACCACCAAGTATAGCTAATGCTAATCCAACTACCCCAACAACGACGTCCACAGAAAACAGTACAAGTGTAAATAGTATGTTTGCCATTATTTAATCATGCAACAAATCACCGTCACCTGTTATTGTTTATTTGAATTTTCCCGTTGATGCGCTTAGGACTGGAATTGATCAGCTTCTAATTGGCATATGTGCATACTATGCGTATTGCTTCGATATAGCCTTAATTCACAAGCGTTATAAGCAAAGATGGACAGTGGTTAGCAGTGGAATCCAGGACTCGTATTTCGTCCTACTTGAGACTCATCAACTGGATATACCTGTATCCGAGTTGATGTTCAATCTGGGACTCGAATCCAGTACCGTTTTCTTCAAACGTTATCATGTTGTCCATTTGGCTACTTGTTATATCTCGAACTTAGATTCTTAGTATGTCGTGTGATTCTTTAGCACTCGAACGCTAGAACCCTCTCAAGTCGCATAATGAGAAGATAGAAGACTATTAAGTAGGAATTTTATTCCCCAAAACAGTGTCAAGTATAGTACAAAAATCTCATGAATTCATAGTTTTTGGCTGAAAGTAAATCATCGTTTCGGACAGCCAATAGGCACATAGGGGGGCTTTCTTAGATCTCACTTTATAAATGTTTTATTTTTGTAATTTTATTTTGGAAATTTGAATTTCCTGTTTTCGCGCTAAAAAACACCCATTTTGACTTATATGTTGTACTACCCATTTAGGAGGACCTTAAATATCATCGGTTTGTTGTCTCTTTTAATATGTTATTTCCAAACGTTTTTCAAGAACATTTTTATACTGTGTATATACGATTGAGTTGTTTTTGTTGTTGTTTGTACTTCTGGCTGCTTGTGAATACATTTCCCTCCTCTGAACCTGGACTTCTCTCTTTAGTCAGAGGGGCTGGAACGCATCGGAATAGTTAGCTTATTAGGTCATTGTGTTGCTGAATCTTTGCTCCGTTCTCACATTTAGGTGAACTCGTAATTTCTTCAACCATTGCAATATACATATTACAAACGACATACAGATGTATTGTTTGTTCGTACTTTTAAACCAGACATGTGCATGTAATTACTCATCATCATAATGATGATGATGACACTGAACATTGATTAAACAATGCCTAATGAAGAATAAGATTTCAATACATCTGTAGTAAACGAAAACTCATGTTGGGAAGACCAATTTATTGTTTAATATTAAATTGCAGAGTTATTTCGTAAAATGCAAAAAAAAACATTCATTAAATACTTCACTCGCAAACCTTCCATCAGTTGTCTCTTACAAACTTCATTGTTCCTTTATTCATGTTGTTACTACAATTACTCTGCTTAGATTTGCTCTTTTCAATTCGATCTTATCAACCTTCTGCTGGTAGGCATTCCACTTCTGGTTGGCGTTACATACTACTTATGTCTGTCGACATAATTAACATACACTGAACCGTGTTTTATTACTGATTAATACAAGATATGGACTAAATAATCTAAAACCCCAAGCTCATGATAAGTATATTTGCACTTTCCTGTTATAACGAACGTTGTCTTCAAATCTTTATGAAATCTTAGATTAAAACACTATCCTTTTGTCGAAGAAATCGTTCACTGAAATTATAAATGATAGACTATAAAATCAGGCTTGATAACTGCACATTAGTCTGCTTTGCTAGAAAGTTTTATAATTTCAGATCAACTTCTAAGAATACGATTTCAAAAGTTAATTTACTTCGGCATGCTTTTCATCAGTTGCCAGTTCAATTTAGGTATTTTGCAGTGACAAATAACCTAAAATAAATGGCTGATTAGATGTTTGATACTGACCTTGTGAATACAAGCTAAGGGTCCTTGGTTAAGCATCATATCTATATCCATGGAGAACCCATGTAATATCCTTCTTCCTCTCTATATAGTAGACTTAAAAGTTTCAAGTTCCTTTCTCTCTGCCTATGTTTAAATATATTTCTCTTCCAAATCACTGCCTTTTTTACACACTCCTATTTAGGATATTATTCTTAAGGTATTTTCAGACCTTTAGAAAAAAGAACGATCGTTAAACGACTGTACGTATTCTGTCATCATCATTAGAATTTCATAACTTATATTACTGAAAGGAAAGCTTTAAACAACTTTGGTATTCAAGTCTGAATTCCATAGACTGATGTGTGACTTGCACAGTACAGTCATTTATATCTAAAGATAATATAATAGCATTAATTTTTGTATCAAACATACTGTAAATAAGTGTCATTTTCTCTATGAGTCAACTCACCCCCTCAGTCTCTTGTTCTGACTTTTATTACCCGTGCAGATCGATTTACACCTCAATCTTGAGATTGCTTTTATTTAACCCCTGTTAGTAGATGGCATGCGATGATTATCTCATAGGATCGCTATCAAATTGTTTTTTTTCTAATCCTACCAATCATTACCACTGATTAATACAACAATTCAGGTTAGCTAATCTCTTGTTATAAGTCAATAATTAGGAATCAGTAAATTTTCGAGTGTTGATTAAGACATCACATATTAGGTAAATTCATTGAAAAACCAGGTAAAAGAACTTATAACTGTAGAAGAACACTGCTGTACTATTACTTCAATCAAAATGAGAGGTTTATGGGAATTCCTCACTTCAAAAATAATTTGCATCACAGACTGATTTTAGTTATACACTAGAAAGTGTATGGTAATGTTATATCGATTGCTTGAGTACACAGTTTAATATATGAAGTGATGATCCCCACCAATCAAAGATGAGTGGAATATCGATCGGAGCAATCATACACAAAAACCCTATGAGCAGTCTTGAGTACTCATCAGTCCTGCCTTCTGCCTAGCCCAGCCAGTTAAGTCCAGAACACCAATAACAGCCTCTGAAATATGAATCATTATTCTCAAACATACTGGGTTTATATACCAAACAAACTGACCACATCGTACCATGAAATAGAAAATAATATTTGCACAAGATTTACCCAAAAGTGACTGTGAATAGGGGGAACAGTAATCAATAGACTGGGGAATTGTAATAGTCTATAGGTCAAAATAAAGCTTATAATAAGAGAGACACGAATATGAATAGTTTAGTCACTTAACAATTATACAATAGGAAGTATACATATCATATTGGTCCATAAATAGTCCTCAAAGTTACCATTCATAAATCTCCACGGGATATAACAGGTAAGTATTTAGTACCACATATGTGACTCCTAACTAGAGTAAATTCATAAGTAATTTTAAACTGCTATTGGATTATTAATGCTCCTGTCATAATGTAGTGAAAAAGAACACGGGTATGGACAATCGAATCTATTTAGGCACGAATTTCAGACTATCTCACTAAATTCTGATAACCATACAATGAACAGTTAATTTGCAAAATAACAATCAATTGTCTCAATCTTCACTGTTCCTTCTGTAAATATCAGTCTATCTTTTCTGATTATTATTGTTCATGCATTTTCGTACTGATTGCGCTTCATTCCTGTTCTTTCCTTATCGATCTTCTGCCAAAATACATTCAACGCATGACCCTCACCATATACTACTTATATGGATATCAGTAACCCAAAGCACAATCACATCGAAAAATCTTGCTAACACCTCAAAAATCGCCATAATATGAATACTACCAAAAGATTGTAAAACAAACATACAATCTATATCTAATTCATCTAAAAAATTTTTCCATTCACTAAATATAAAATAATCATATTCAAATTCTATGTATCTTTCGACAAAAAACAATCATCAACTAACCCTCTTATAAAATTACCTTTGTTCATTTAGAACAAAAATACATCAAAGGTCACTTGTTACCAAAACTACCAATTCTATATATATTAAATGTATATAATCCCCATAATCTAATCCTTAAATACGTCCATTATTACTATGATTTATCAATTATTAATCTTATCATTAGTAGTTAATGTTCTAAGTAAGTATAATTTCACATTTTGACGTTTTCGCCTTCATGAAGCTTCGTCAGCTGTCAAGGAATATATCAATCATGAAAATGAATTCAATGTAAGCGAAATACTTTACTATAATATGTATTCTTATTCATATTTATATTTGAATAAAGTGAGAATATTAAGATTTGAAGAATAAAATGAATTCAATGTTCATTTTCAAGTCTTTTTATAAGCTGCAAAAAAGTATAAAACTACAAACAGTAATATAATAATTATCAAAAGAGGTTCTTGTGAATATTATAGTAGTTTCAATAGTTGAGATCATGAGTCAATTGAAGCTAGAATACCATGAAAAAACTTGGAAGCACTGGACGGTCGTTTCGTCCTATTGTGATCTAGAGGTTAAGCGCTCGCATGCGAAACTGATAGGTCCTGGATTTGAATCTCGTGAAGCGCGATCACGGATTCGAACTACTGAGGAGTCCCACAATAGGACGAAACGGTCGTCCAGTGCTTCCAGGTTTTCCATGGTGGTCTAGCTTCAATTGATTCATGATCTCAACTATTGAAAGTAACATAATTCATAAATAAAGGTTTAACACGCTTTGGATAGTGAAGCTTAGATGATTATTTGTAATGAAACCGAATAATAAAATTGGAAGAATATAACACGAAACATTTGAACAAACATAGTTTAGATCGATACTTATTTATATTGTTGGACTCCTCACCAGTGCTCATCCACGATCCCGCCTCGCGAGATTCGAACACACGACCTATCAGTCTAGTGCGCGAGCGCTTAATCTCTAGACCACCAAGCCGGCTTCCAGCTTTTTCATAGTGGTCTAGCTTCAATTAACTCATGATCTCAACTATTAAAATTACTATAATATCCACAAAAACCCCTTCTGTTACTTATTTATATGTTGAAAAATGGTAATACAGATTAGAGATGATGTCATAGTTACCAATCAATATAAGGAAATGTACAATTTCATGATTATACTGGCTGTCTTTTTACGAGTGATCGAATTTTATTACTCATATTTAAAAATAACCTTTTATCATCAATTTACTAATTTTGTCTTAAAATGTTTTCATTTAGAATATTTAGTCCTTCAGTCACATTTATTAATATTATGTAAAGTTTAAATAAATAAACCGTTCATAACCATGCTATTTATAGCAGTTTTACTAGGTAAATACTCAAAAAATTAAAGGACTTATTTGTTCTATCATAGAATATATTTCAAATCACATCGTCTAATGTCATTAGCTGCTGTCTCTTGATTGTCTAAACTGTGATGTTAGGCAGATGAACTGAAAAGATTTATTTACCAGTCAATGACTTCAAAATGAGCTTCAGTTTTACTCAGACTACTCACATGCTTTTTTAAACTGTTATTTTCTTTATTCAGTAATGCTTATTGGAATAAACGTTATCGAAACATGGGTAACAAGTGATCTATAAGTGTTAGCTGACCAGAATCTGGAACCATACATACAATTCAATGAATCATTTTATTATATTCAGGCAGGTGAACTAATACTATTTACAAGCAAAAATAGATGATGGCTAGCAGTCGAATCCAGGACGCGTGTTTCGCCCTGTTTGAGATTTATCAACCGGATATACCTGTATCCGAGTTGATGTCCACTCTGGGACTCCAACCCAGTACCTTTCGCTCCAAACGCCGTAGCGTTATCCACTTATCGACGAAGTTCTGATAGTCACTTATTTTTGTACGATGGGGTGGAGTTTAAACTCATTTTGTATTGTTTGTTTAGGAAGATGTAAAAATTAATGCACTCATGATATAATGTCTTGAGTTCATTTCTGTGTTCTGTTAAATAAGTAACTTGACTATTTTAGGAAATAATAAAACTAACCCGTAGAAATCCAGTTGTAACATATATAACACTAATATTTACAACTTCATTTAAGTTGTCTCTAACTTTGAAATCAACTTACTTGTTTACGCCTGTTATTCCACATGGAGGAGCATAAGCCACTCACCCACCAAGACTCTCCATTTAACCTTAACTGTAATACCAAGTCATAAGTATTTTTCTACTTTTTTTTGTTTTTGTTTTAGAATATACAATTCAATCAACTTAAATATATATATCATCATTTTCTTTTAAACCAAAATCCAGCTAATCCTTGTAAGTTTCTTTTCGATCGAAGGATAAAGCCATTTATTCATAATATCTACATGATATTCCTCTCTCTCTATCTCTTTCTCCATCTCCCTGATACTCTTGACTTCTCTTTATTTCAGCATGTTTCGGTTGTAAAGCTGGATTATGGATGCTTAAAACATTTGTCTTTGGTAGTAGACAATTTGTAGATGATCATATTGAAGTAACATGTACAAATTTTAAAAATATTTATAAACCTGTAAGAATTACAAAGCATGATTTATTCTAATGAATCATTTATTATTATTTTCTTTTTGTTTACTTCAAATGATCAAAGTTATTCAAAACAATCTATTATAATCATATTTAGTATATCTGGAGTTTTTTGTGGAGATTTAGTATTTTCATCGTTGAAAGCATGAGTCAATTGAAGCTAGACCACCAGGGAAAACCTGGAAGTACTGGACAGCCATTTCGTCCTATTGTGGGACTCCTCAGCAATGAAACGGCCGTCCAGTGCTTCCAGGTTTTCCCTGGTGGTCTAGCTTCAATTGACTCAAGCTTTCAACTATGAAAATGTCTAGTATAGTTTACATTGAGACACAGAATGAATGACATATATATGGTAAAAGAAAGTTCTATTCCATTATGAAACATTCATCTATTTAATGAATAACAAAAGAATGATAACCGAAATTTTCTGATAAATAGAATCACTTAGTGAATATAAACACATTTTGAGTAAACTAAGATTGTAAATTCATGTTTTAATTCTATGCCATCAAAAGTGATGACAATCAAAAATGGATAGTGACTAATAGTGGAATCCAGGACGCGCGTTTTGTCCTTTTTCGAACTCGTCAACTGGATATACCTGCATCTCAGAGTTGATGTTCACTCCGGGAATCGAATCCAGTGTCGTTCGCTTCAAACGCCATGGCGTTATCCACTCAGCAACTGAATCCTGATAACCATTTGCTTGTGTACTGGGATAGAGTTTAAATTCACTTGGTATTGTTTGTTTGAATCTTCCCATTGATGTTTAGGACTGCAACTGATCAATCTTTTATTGGCCATATGTGCACCCATCTTTGCTCATAATGCTTGTCAGTTAAGGCAATATCGAGGCAATACGCCCAGTATGCACATATAGCTAATAAGAGACTGACCAGTTGCAGTCCTGAGAATCAATGGTAAGATTCACACAAACAATACTAAGTAAATTTAAAGTTTACTCTGTTTAGCATTACTTGTCATAATTCCCTAGAACATTACACTTAAGAACTACAATAATCACATTAGGAAAGTAGATCAGTTTTCTTTGGTAAAACGAACACTATTCCATTTTCATAGTTGAAATCAGGAGTGGTCTATCGGTGGTCTATCAGTGGTCTGTCGGTTGAGGGCTCTGGTGCGAGACTGGTAGGTCCTGGGTTCGAATCTCGCGAGTGCGAGATCGTGGATGCACACTGCTGAGGAGTCCCACAATAGGATGAGACGGCCATCCAGTACTCCCAGGTTTTCCCTGGTGGTCTAGCTTCAATTGACTCATGATTTCAACTATGAAAATACTAAAACCTCCACAAAACCCCTTCTGAATTATTCCATTCAACAATTATATTGTTATGTTTCTTCAAAACTCACAACTTTCTTTTTTGATTATATATTTTTTTCTAGTGTAAAAGAATATTAACTGAATTTCTGGATTACGCTTATGATTTAATATATGGTTACAGTTCAGCCGATCTATGTGCAGTAAGTTGTCGATAAAAAAGAAACGATAGTAATAATTTATTTTTATGAATAATTTCCATTATCAGTGTTAAGAGTTTACGGAAATGATGACTGCCATTTTGCGGTGTTGAATATAAAACTCAAAATCTCCGTAAATGCTTTATAGCAAAAATGGTCTTTTTCTCATTAGTGATTGATTTTGAGAGGTTAATCCAGGAGTTCTAGTAAGAAGCAATGTCGAATGCAGTTTAGTCATATTGAATTTAAGCCAGTTGCCTATCAATAACATTGGAAGGTGGTTGCGTATTATCGCAAATTGATTGAAGCAAATCATTGGAGACAGGCTCAACGGACTAATGGCTAAGCGCCCATCATGAGATCTGATGATCCTAGGCTCAGCCGCTGGTAGGTTGTGGAAAATCACTACTGAGGACTCCCATACTAGTATAAAGCAATTACCTAGTTCCTTCTGCTTTTCCATGATTGTCTAACTAAAGTAAGATCGTAATGTGAAGTGAGATCAAATGATGGAATATTTTGTTTGATGATTGAATACGATAGATAATTCTGTTGTATCTTGATACATTTCACCTGACCGGTACTAAGAACCAGACAAATACCACAATGAATACCACACAGTGGTCAATTTGTATGAACTAAAAAAAAACAACACAGCACTTTATCAGTATAATTACATCACTCTATTTCTTTTCTACTTTTGATCTGTGTACAATGCGCTACTCTCTCGTAATGAGGTTTAAACAGATACACTTTATGACGTCTAAGTGACCATCTGCCTATTTTTAAGTTTTGATAGTTTATTTCGTCGCAATGTATCGCTTCACCTTTCGTTAAAGCATAAAATAGTAATGTAATACTGCAGAAAATATGAATGTAACTACAAGGGAAAGACTTCAGCGATTCACTAAATTCACAGACTGCATTCGTCACAGAATAATCCCAGTTAGGATATGATTGGAAACCGTAAATCTTTGAACAAATATTTTTTCCAAGTACGAGACACTTTAGCAGTGCTCATTTGTGTTTCCTCACTGTAACATCGTCACGATGTATCTCAAATCGACCGAAGTTGGATATTTGCCGGTGGACATTGATCTGTTCCGTCTAATGCATTAGCGTCAACCATCAGACCTGAAGGTTTTGTGCCCGATTCTAGGGGGATTCGTAGGTGCATATCACTGAGGAATCCTATACTAGAATAAAATAGCTGTGCAATGCTCCTAGATTTTCCGTTGCAACCCAACTGAGATCAATATTTAACGGAAGTAACCTACAAACTAAATCAATCTCCACCAAATCTTTTTAACTAAATTAATTTGTTATACATTGTCTCATTTAAATGTAGCCTCACCAGTCTGACACTTCCATAGTGAAAGAAAGTGACTAAAAGATGTATCTGGCAGAAAAAGACTAATTATTTTGTTTTTATTTTAAAAACCCAATTCCATCCAAACTTTCTTCTACTATCTTACTTCACAATGTAATCATAGTTAATCTGATTAGTTTAATTCTTCTGCAATTTATTCCTATTTAGTTACAAAAATGTATCATTACTTTGTACAATTTTGTTTCATTTTATCAATCCACAGCTTGCTGGAATATGTAAAAATCCACCGAAAATTGACTGTGAGAACATTTTATTTGTGAATTAGTATGGTTTTCATAATCCTTTTTTATCCATTGGACAATATTTTAGAAAAATAACATTGACTATTGATTTATTATTTATTAACTCTGACAATTTAATTTGAAACTATTGTTAATTGTGTATAGTTGAAATCATGAGTTAATTGAAGCTAGACCACCATGGAAAACCTGGAAGCAATGGACTTCCATTTAGTCCTATTGTAGGATTTCTCGGCAGTGCGCATTCACGATTCCGCCTCGCAAGATTCAAACCCAGGACCTATTAATCTCGCGAGTGAGCACTTAACCTATAGACCACTGAGCCGGCATCCAATGGTGTTAATATCTAACTTCAACCAATCCACGAAGTTGAGCAACCGTTCACCAACCATTCTTCAATTGACTAACGCTTTCAACTATGAAAATACTAAATCTCCACAAAACCCTTTCTGTAATTTATATGTACATTATAAGATAATAACAACAGTTAATGAAAGAAATGAAAACTTACAGTTAAGGTTATATAAAATCAACTGAGTTGATGAATACGCATTAAAAATATGTAATTTATAAACTGCCGTACTTTATTTGTTTCTGTTAGTAGTATACAAAGTATGTACATCTGATTATTTTTTATAATTGATAATATTTTCTTCTTACATCGGAAGTCAGTTGAAAATAATCTATGAAATAAACGAACTCATATTATACTATTACGGTCATTGTTTCTTTTTCCATTCAGATTAACGGGAAAAGAAAGAAATTATGTTGAATAAATAAACAAACTAATTCTCTTGTTAAAGATGGATAGTGGCTTGCAGTGGAATTCGGGACACGTGTTTTGTCCTATTTGGGACTCGTCAACTAGATGTACCAGCATCTCAGAGTTGATGTTCACTCTGGAATATCCAGCTAACGAATCCCAAATAGAACGAGATCTGCGCCATGGATTCCACTGCTAGCCACTATCCATCTTTGCTTGTTAATTAAAGCAATATGGACAATATACTCACAGTATGCACATATGCTAATAAGAGGCTGATCAACTGAAGTCCTAAACATAAATAGGAAGGTACAAGTAAACAATGCCAAGTGAATTTGATTCTCTTGTTTATTCTCATTGTAAATAAAGCTAGAAATCAGTCATAAAGTAAACAGATCATTGATAGCTAGTGATCTATGATAAAAAAGAATGATCCTGAAATGCAGCAAAGTTCAAAGAGATCACAAATATTGCTTCATTATAAGTTTAAACGTACAAACATTCTAGATAATTGGTCATTTTATGGATTAACTAAAAAGAACAAAATATAATATCTGAATTCACTTAGTATTGTTTGTTTGAATCTTCCCATCGATGTGTTAGGACTGCAACTGGTCAGTTTCTAATTGGCATACGTGCATACTGTACGTATTGCCTCGATATAGCCTTAACTATAATATCTATTCATTACTTATAAAGAAAATTGACAGTAACAAACTAACTAGCAAAAAATTGATCATAACCTAATAATTCATTATACTACTTATATGAACTTTATTTAAGAGTAATTTTTAACTAAAGTAACATTACTGACATTGTATTGTCTCTTGATACTAAGAAGTACAAGATAATTACTCATTCAAAGGTTAACGCATATCATTGAATCAAACATTATTCCTCTTTTTGATAGTTTAAAAATAAAATTAATCCTATGTAGTTTAATTGAAATGAAGAAATAAAGTTGATACATATCAGTAAGGTATCGTCATATTCATGAGGGAACCTGTGCTCAAATTGTAAAGTTAAGTTAAAATCCTACAAAGAGCATTAGTTATGTCAAGACTATGAGTAAATCTTGTTAATGAGTGTCAAACAGCACTAAACCTAGATCCAAAAGTTCCTGTCAGCTATCTTTAAAAACCTAAAATGAAACTATAGTACAATGGATTTCAAGCTACTAAGAGTAATAGGCAACTTGTTCGTTAGAATTCGATCAGAGCTAAAAAACTAAACATTCATAACACTAACTTCTACACAATAATTAATCAATTGTGGGTACTAACCCATGTCAGTCATTTTGATTTGATGTTACAAATATTAAGTTACTTCATACTTAAACATGCTAGTATATGAAAGTTTGAAGAACCAGTTATAGGATTTAAATTCACTTTGAATTGTTTATTTGAATCGCCCCATTGATGTTAAGGACTGTAATTGATCAGTCTCTTATTGGCATATGTGCATCCTGTGCGGATGGCCTCGATATTGTCTTACATCTCAAGCAATTATAACCAAAGATGGATGATGACTAACAATGGAATCCAATGACGCGCGTTTCGTCCTATCTGGAACTCATCAGCCGGATGTACTGGCACCCCAGCTGATGAGTCCCGAATAGGACGAAAAGCGCGTCCTGAATCCCACCCATCTTTGCTTATAACAAATATTAGATTTGTAAACAATTTTTATACTTTTGGATTCTATATACACTCAAGATACTACTTATTTAATTATCAAATTTATTCAAAAGATTACATAAATTTCGAAATATTTATCCAGAAAAATAAGACAGATTGTTTTTAATCTCTTGCTTTATTTTTCCTAATTAGTTTGTCCACTTTGCTTAATGAGTGTAGAAGAAAGTAAAAATATTTTATTATCTGATGCCCTTCTCAATGAATTACAATCGGTATTTGTACATGTATGTGATTATGTAAGATTGGAAGTACAAGTAAGTAGTGTATGTATTAGCTGCAATTATAACTCTTATTTCTAGTTTCATTTTATGTTTGTACAATAATGATGATATAAATTTCACTAAAGGTTATTATTTTGATATAGATTAAGTATATCCCCAACCATTTCAGTGTTCAATAGTTGTGTCGTATTCAGAACTTCTTATGGCGAGACTAAACTTTATGGACGACCTTTGAACGAATCTTAAATGACCTTGAGAAATATTGGCCAATCAGAACGCAGTTAGTACACAGTAAAAATATATTATACAAAACTAAAAAAATTAAGCGGATACTGTTCTTTTACATGGTTCAAAAACTTCTCAAGGTCAGATATAGGTTCACAAGTTCTAAAATCATAGTGCATACGGTACAGGAACTCATCCATATGGCTCCATAGTAGTCGACCTCTGGAGCCATGAAAAGGTTTCAAAAAGTCTTTTAGCCTCGACCACATAGCTTCAGTGTTGTTGGTATGTTGGTATGGTTTAGGGTTTAGGGTTAGGGTTAGGGTTAGGGTCTTAATCGTGATCGAGCGAAAAAAGTCATCTGAGTACCACAGTCACCAGTATAGGAACTTCTTAATAATCACTTCTCTTGTATACGCTGAATTATCACGTCTTCTCTAAAATCCGCTGTAAACCGATCGTACGTAAGCATCACGTACCGAACTTAGCGCCGTGACCTTGAAAACCCGCGAAAGCTTCTTATTGGCTCGTCCGTAAAATTTAGTCTCGCCCTTCTTATCATTTTTCTGTTCATCTATTTAGTGAATGCTGTATATCTAAAAATAATTTTCACAAAAGATATCATTTTGATCGTTTGAAGTAATCAGCCATTATCCACTACAAACCTATCCAGTGTAAAATAGCCCAATATGTCTTCAGTTTACAGTGTTTAGAATAGAAAATCAATCTGATCATATTAATCCTCGCAATTTACAGTACTGTAAAGATCCTATTTCGCTTTGAATGCATAAATAGATGATGATATCGGATGTTCTGGTAGAGAATTCTGGTAGAGTCATTCACTAATCCATACTGTCGGATAAAAAAGACTAAATATGATAAATCATTGAATTTAAAAAGTGATTTTATATGAAAATTCCATTCCAAATATCCATGATTCAGACACTAAATGAATGAAAAACTGTTATGAATTTAAAAAATAAGAACAAGGCCGTACGCTAATTTGTTGTGGTCTTATGTCCGGCTTTTTATCACGAGAGTTATCCACCAATCGGAATACGACTTGTCTAATCTTAACACTGTGCCAAATCAATGACGTTCGACCAGTATGAGCAGTCTAACGTCCTTATTGGTCTCTTGTCCGCCTAGCCCTTCCAATTGAGTCCAGAACACCAATTACGGTTTCAGCTATGCGAATCTATGTGAATCATTTATTTCAAGCATACTCGATTTATATACCAGACAGACAGACCAAATCACACAATCAAATAGAAAATAATATTCCACAAGATCAAGCCAAATGTGGCTGTGAACGTGGGATACAATAATCAATAAACTGAATATAGTTTATCGACAGTTAATCCTATAATAATAATCCATAGGTCAAAATGAAGCTTATAATAAGATGAATATAGAAATACATAATCTAATTACTCAATAGTTAAACAATAAGAATATATCTAGTATAATAGTCCATTAATAAGTCTCGGAAGTTACTCATACTTATGTCTTCGCTAGGATATAACACAAAGACTGAAAGTTCTGGGTGTGATGAATTTAATTAATGAGGAGGATACATCTAGCCATAACATACTTGATGATGTTCCATCGATTTCATTACACACAAATAAATGATAAATGATATTCAACTATAAGATGAGAAACTGACTGACCACTTAAACTATAGTTAATTTTATAATCTGCATTCTAAATTAATTTAAGTCGAATAGATAAAATTCACTTAGTATTGTTTGTTTGGATCTTCCCATCGATGTGTTTAGGACTGCAACTGGTCAGTATCTAATTGGCATATGTGCATACTGTGCGTATTGCCTCGATATACCTTAATTCACAAGCATGGTAAGCAGAGACTGGATTCCACTGCTAGCCACTATCCATCTCTGCTTACGAATAGATAAAAGTTGTAAATTTCTTTCACATATGACAAAATGAAAAAAGACAAATACAAGAAATGTTCTTGATATTGTTTACTTGTATATTCCAATTGTCATTTAGGACTGCAATTGATCAGTCTCTTGTTGGCATATGTGAATCGTGTGCGAACTGCCTCGATATTGCTAGCCACTATCAATCTTTGCTTATAAATACATGAAATGTATTATCTTACAATGTTATTGAAATTTCAATTCATCTGATCATCAATCATTGTTAATCATACATGTATTAATTTCTTTATTTGGAATAAAAATAATGTTAAGATAAAATAAGTTAAGGATCGAAGACCAGTGGAGTCCAATCGGTGTCGGATGGTGACAGTTAACTTCCTCAGAAAATGGATGAAGGGTTGCGCCAGATCATGGATCGATTGAAGTTAAACATTAACACCATTGGATGCCAGATCAGTGGTCTAGAGGTTAAGTGCTCGTCCATCAGACTGAAGATTCTGGGTTTCAGTCCTCCGTGCGATATTATGGATCCTCACTGCTGAAGAGTTCCAGTTGAGGACGAAACGGCCATCCAGTGCTTCTAGGTTTTCATTGGTTGTCTAGCTTAGATCGACTCATGAATTCAACTATTAAAATAAAATAAGTTGAATATTGATGAAAATCAGAATGTGTCTCATGAGACGCTATAATTAAATGCGATATTTATTTAAACTAATTAGCCTTCTCTGTTAGGCCAATTCAAATCAAGTCATATAATGAAATCCTAGTGTATCAAATGTTGGCCGAAATTTTCAGTTTTAGTTATATCCACGAATAAAATGCAGTGATCGAGTACATTTATAAGGTAATTCATAGTCTGGGTCAATTAGTGTTATTATCTTCGACAGTAATACTGGTTGATACGAGTTCAAAACCAACGAAAGAGATCATGAGTAGAAAAGTTGTATTTCTGAGGTTTCACGACTTCATGTAACTCACTTCCTCAGAGTAAATAAATAACCGAATTAAATTAACACAAGTTTAAATAGTTGAAAGCGTAAGTCAATTGAAGCTAGACCACCATGGAAAACCTGGAAACACTGGACGGCCGTTTCGTCCTATTATGGGACTCCTCAGCAGTGCGCATCCACGAACCCGCTCTCGCGGAGTTAAAAACCACGTCTGTTGGGAGATAGGAACTCACTGAAGACAATTGGTGAATGGTTGCTCAACTTCGTGGATCAGTTGAAGTTAGACATTAACACCGTTGGATGACGGCCGGCTCAGTGGTCTATCGGTTAAGGGCTTCGGCTCGAGACTGGTAGGTCCTGGGTTCGAATCTCGCGAGAGCGGGTTCGTGGATGCGCACTGCTGAGGAGTCCCATAATAGGACGAGTTGGCCGTCCAGTGTTTCCAGGTTTTCCCTCGTGGTCTAGTTTCAATTGACTCACGCTTTCAACTATAATAAATACTAAATCTCCACAAAACCCCTTCTATAATTAATACAAGTTTAAATAGTAAGCAGGAAACTATGCAAAATATTTGTGGTACAATCAAAATCATAGTAGGTCTGAATAAGTCAATGTGAAGTTGAACTTGTATGACCTGTCACTGTATTAATTTGTGAGTCAGAATGTGGGTATGAAAAGCGTGAAAAATGAAAACATTTGTAATATGAATTAATGGGGTTGAAATTAAGTGTGTGTGTGTAGATTGTGTGGCAAATAAATAAGGTCAAATGTGGTTGTTTGGATAAACAGTCCAGGTTGGATGGATATTCTAGTCCACTTTCCTATCGGGGGGAGACATGCTTCGGCCTATAGTTGGAAAAGCCTTACATAACCATATCAATAACCTCTCATTTTACATCCAAATCATTCCAAACCAAAAAGCATCAAACACTAATTTCATTCTATATTGACATCACTGTCATGTAGTACATACCATATGAATACACTAGGGATCAAAACTTAATTTTCAAAAACCCGTACATATCCAAATCATAATAAATCGAGTAATCCATTCCTTCCCTCCAATACAAAAAATTGATATATCGTAGCATGGTTTCTTTTGAATAAATTTCAATTCCTCATTATAGTGTAGTGAACAAGAACCGGGGGTGGGGATAATCGAGTGTATTTAAGCACAAATTACAGACTATCTCACTAAATTCTGATAACCATACAGTAAACAGTTAATTTGCGAACTATCAATCAATCGTCTCAATCTTGACCCTTCCTTCTGCAAATGTCAGTTCACGGCCTACGACTATTATTGTTCATGCATTTTTATATCAATTGCATCCCGTTTCCGTTCTTTCGTTATCGATCTTCTTCTGAAATACATTCAATGCCCGATCGTCGTTATATACTACTTATGTGGATATAAGTAGCCCATACCACATTAGATACATATAGTGAACGAACACTCAAATGAGGAAGTCCAATTTATTGTTAAATACAGAGTTCGTTCGTAAAATCTGAAAAGTCATATATTAAGTACTTCATTTACTAATCCTTCATTGGTTGCCTTACATTTCATTGTTCTTTCATTGCTATTACAATTAATTACTGTCTACTTACATTCCCATTTTCATCAACTCGATCTTCTCAACCTTCTGCCGCCAGGCATTCCACTTCTAATTGGTATCGACAAAAGTAGCATTAAAATAATAAAATATTAGTAATATATAATGAAGCATTACATTTTATTTATTTCATAGTGTTCCACATTTCTGAATGAACTTTATGAAAATGTTATCGATATAATGAAACATGTTGTAGAACCACATTTCTTTTGTCAGGTAAATTTTTGATTTCAATATTAATTTTTTTATATATAGTTGAAATTATGAGTTAATTGAAGCTAGACCACCACGGGAAACCTGGAAGCACTAGACGGCCGTTTCGTCCCATTGTGGGATTCGTCGAAAGTGCGTATCCTCGATCCCGCTCCGCGAGGTTCGGACCCAGGACTTATCAGTCTCGCGAGTGAGCGCTTAACCACTAGACCACTGAGCCGCCATCCAATCGTGTTAATATCTAGCTTCAAATAATCCACGAAATTGAGCGACATATCCACCATTGTCTTCAGGGAGTTACTATCTCACAACAGACCTGGTTGAACTCCACTGGTCCCACAATAGGAAGAAACGGCCGTACAGTGCTTCCAAGTTTTCCATGGTGGTTAAGCTTCAATTGACTCACGATCTCAACCATTATCAATCTTCTTAGTAACTTTAATTTTCATTTAAAAATTTTATTTAACCTGTGAAAGTTATCCATCCAAGATAGTCTAATTATTATTTTAATTATTATGTTATTTTTAGTTGGGTCACATGTGTAATACAACATATACAGAGGTATCGAATTACAATTAGAATTCCATAAAAAGAACACTATTTGTATTGGTAAACAAAATGTATTATTGTTACAATTTTAGAATCAGTAAACTAAAGTAAATCATAAAAATATTCATTGTTTTGAAATTACTGACGATCAAATCATTACCCAAAGCTATAATATTCATTTTATAGATCCCCAAGTCTCCTCAAGTCCTCTTTATCGGCACATTATCACTTAGGTATCAGTATCTACAACTCCACCTGTAGCCCTTCTAGAATTACTGCCGGTCCCAAGCCCGGGTAAAGGAGGAGGGTTGGACATGGGGTTAGCGACCCCATCCCGTAGAAAAACTAACGCTAAAAAACGCTAACCAGAAAAAATAACTCAAACCGTTTAAACTCTGCCCTGGGAGTTGAAGGAATAATTATGACGTCTCATGATGAAAGCCGAGATTTTTCGGAAGTCACAAGGCCGATGCACCTTCTAACAACCAGAGCAACACTCTTTATAGGTACATGGAACGTTCATCAATATCTACAGACAAAACGTCATAGTTGAAAATAACCGCTGTTTAATTACGTTCGACCCTGTCGATGTTTTAGCACTACGGGAAATCATTTTCGGCATTAATAGTCCACCGCTAACTCTCCCACTGTTAAACAGAGCGATAAGACATCAAAGATAGCAAAAGGAAAGTGGTTCAATCAGAATTGCAGGAAACTTTTACTGATGAGTGCTTGCATGCAGAAAACTTAAATCAGTCAATGTCTATAGACTCTTTAGAACTAACTAACAACAAACGACATACATACATATGTGTTAACAATCTACATTTCATAAAAAATAAAGCATGAGTAAATGTATACGTGTATTTAATTTAACCAGTATTTGTTTATCTATTATGAAAACTACTTTACTAAGTAAATACGTTAATTGCTAACGTTTAACTTTAATACACCCTGAATGTGTTTAATTTATTTGTGACTATTGTTTTATGATAACTTAAAGATTTCATGAATCTTGTAAGCGAAATCATAAGTTAAATAAACAGTCGTAGGTTTTTATCAGTAAGAGGATTTGTAGAGATTATAGTATTTTAACAGTTGAATTCATGAGTCGATCTAAGCTGGACCATCAATGAAAACCTCGAAGCACCAGACGGCCATTTCGTCCTAGTGGGAGATTCCTCAACAGTTCACATCCATGATCCTGCACCAAAGAGATTAGAACCCAGGCTCTTCTGTCTCGTGCACGAGATGATCGTGTGACATCGTGAATCAACTGAATTTAAACGTTAACACCGTTGGAGCCAGATCAGTGGTCTAGAGGTTAGGCGTTCGCCCATTGGACTGAAGGTTTTGGGTTTAAGTCCGCCATGTGAGATCGTGAATCTTCACTGCTGAACAGTCCCATATGAAGACGAAACGGCCATCTAGTGCTTCAAAGTTTTCACTAGTGGTCCAACTTTGTTCGACTGTTAGAAATCCTAGATTTTCACTGAAAATCATTAGCTGACTTATGTAATATAATCAAATGTGGATTGATATCATATTAAATCTTGAGTTATGATAAAAAATAAATTCATATACAATCATTTTTGAGATGTACAAACTATTAAGTGACAATGTGTTATACAGAATGTAGACAGTTACTAAGGTATATGATTTACTTTTCTTTAAGGATCATGCTGTAAAAAACAGAACCAATCCTAGATGAAACCCCGGATATCATGAGCACGGTTTCAATTCATATATGTCAATAACAACTAAGAAACCAGGTATAATGATCTAATCATCAACCTTTTAGTATGATAATTAAAAAATTGTAAACCAAATCATCTGCAAGAAGTAAAAATACTATGCAACATGAGTTTCGCTAGGTAAAGCGAGATCTTAATGTTGAGTCGGCCTCCGGAGAACTCTAACAGAGCCTCAACCAATCAGCGATTAATTAGAAGTTGTTTGAAGTTATGTTACTAAAATAACGAGATCCTGATTGGCTGATTAACACACTGCTACTATGCTTAGCAGTATTCTAGAACTTTCGGTAAAACTCAAGGTCTCTTAAATTACTATAAAATCCCTGTATTTTCTGTACATAAATGAACCTTGCAGTAAAGTGCTTCCCACGTAAAGGCATTCTCTGGTCTTCAAGTCGCGGAGTAGTTCTAGCTCGGGGATACGGAACTAGCTTAGGGAAGCGAATATAGCGTTCACAATCGGCCAGACGTAACACTTAACAAAACAAGCATTGATTGAGAGCTGAATATCTACTCCAAGGAAAAAGGAAAGCAATTATTTGTGTTTAGAAGTATAATACATAAGATCTGGTTAATTTTCCGGACTATTCGACTTTATCCCTCCGAACAATAATGATAATATGTATCAGAATCAGAACACAGATTACTAAGTCAGTCAGTCAGTTACAACGTAGAACTTCGTACGTACGTACATCAGTTCGAGTTGCCATACCACATTAGCACAGAGATGCAGTTGTCGATTCAAATCCCATATTGGTAGAAGTAGTAAGAGTATAAGTATTATGGGAAAGATTAGGGTTTGGAGATGTTATTGAAAGAGTATAATCCAGTAAAATAAATTTGGAGAGAGAAAAAAGATAGAGTCATGAAGAATTCAGAAGATTAGAATTTGGGAGAACACAAAGAGTCGATGCATCTTCGCTATTGCAAACGATTTTGAGCCATGTCATTCAAGGTCTCTAACCATCGGTTGCTATCATCTCGCGAATCCCAACCAGGTAGTCTACACCTACCAACATGGCTCAGTCCACTTGTCAGTGACTTCATGGATTTGTGCCACGTTTTGGTCTGACCGCCCCTAGCTTTCTTCCAACCTACTCCTACACCATGAAACATTGCACGTCGGGGCAGTCGGTGGTTGGGCATACGTAACACATGTCCCATCCATCTCAACTGATGAAGTTTCACTACTTCATCAATCGATTTGCCATCCTTACCTAGTACCCGTATCCTAACATCTGCATTACTTACCCGGTGGGTCCAGGATATACGAGCAATGCTTCGAAGACAACTATGAATGAATACTAGCAGCCTACAAATATCCTCTACTCTTACCGGCCATGTTTCACTGCCGTGAAGTAGGACGGAACGAACTGTTGCACAATAAACCCGTCATTTGGCTGCTAGACGGATATCTCACCTACGCCATAAATGACGCAAGTTGGCGAAAGCTAGACGAGCGTTCTGTATCCGTGCCGAGATTTCGTCACACACCAGACCACAAGGGCTGATGAGACTTCCAAGATAAGTGAAGCGGTCAACACGCTCCATATCACTCCACATCACTATTTCAGGTTTCGATACAACCCAGCCAAGAGGATAACACTATAACCTACTCCAGATTTATTTACAACGTTATCACCTTTCAAATATCCCAAGCTTCGATTGACGAACTTTTATGAACAACAAAGTCTTTTATATAAGAACTCTCGTCTAAATTAGAACGAATAGTTTCACAGTATTTGAGCGCCGAGTCGAAGTAAGACATTAAATAGGAATAATATATTTGTAAAATCTCAGCGAATGAAATTTTTTTAAATTAAATCCAACGTTTCGCCTGGCAATCTGGTCCAAGCTTTTTCAAGGAATTATAATCAAACATTAAAATTATCGAATATAAATAAGTACATGGTTCTCCGAGTTCATTATACACTGAATAGGTCATCCAATCAACGTTAACAAAAGTCTAAACTAGGTATGTTTAAGAGATATGTGATGTGTAGTGAAGAGTGTTCATATAACATAATTGTATAGAAAACGTAAGAGGTGAGAGGAGAAAATTACATTCACCTTCATATATTGTCTCTTATCAGTGAATTTATAAGGAAACACATTACCTTTCCTAGACTGTTTAGTGGAAAGGAAAGTTACTAATAGCTTAAAAATTAGTATATTTCGAAAGCCGACATATTCAGGAAAATTTCTAAATTTTAAATCGGCACATCCACACTCGACCAAAGTGACAGTAGTCAAAAATATGATTACAAGAGCTCAAAAACTTGTCACTGAACCAAATGATATGAAAACGGAAATAAATTTAATTACATCTACCATAATGATGAACAATTATCCAAAAGATTTTATTAAAAGAATAATTAAGAATGAAAGAAAAGACGACATTGTTAATACAAAAAGATTACAGAAAAAGGAATGGGTTAACACTGTAGTGATCCCATATCGGAAAGGAGTTTCGGAAGATATTCAAAAAATCTTAATTAATCAAAATATAAGAGTATTTTTTCGAACAAACAATACTCTAAAATCAAAATTAGTAAGAATTAAAGATCCAATACATAAAGAAGAACAACAAAATTGTGTCTATGAAATCAAATGTAGTGACTGTAATACAACGTATGTAGGTGAAACATCAAGGCAACTGAATGTGAGCGTGAAGGAACACAAACAATGTTTGAAACATATTCCTAAATCCTCAGATGATGTAAAGAAATTGGAGAACAAATCAGCGATAGCATTACATTCGTTAGAATCAGGTCATACAATTGATTTCGATGGCACAAGAATCCTTCAAAAAGCTTTTAATTCTTACAAGGAGAGACAAACAGCTGAAGCCCTATACATTTGAGCTAATCCAAACAATATTAATAGGAGAGATGGAATACAATTAGCAGTGCCATGGCAGCTAATCATTAATAAGTAACAACCTGAACTCCTTAATGTTTTTATCTAATTCGTATTATCTAAAAATGACAACAATTTACACTCAATGATTCTAATCTGTTGTCTTATCGGAATAAGAGACAATATATAATGTGAATGTAATTTTTATCCTCTCACCTCTTACGTTTTCTATACAATTATGTTATATGAACACTCTTCACTACACATCACATATCTCTTAAACATACCTAGTTTAGACTTTTGTTAACGTTGATTGGATGACCTATTCAGTGTATAATGAACTCGGAGAACCATGTACTTATTTATATTCGATAATTTTAATGTTTGATTATAATTCCTTGAAAAAGCTTGGACCAG